CTCACCGTGGGACAACATATTGAGTATCGTGGTATAGTATAGCAATACTTTTTGGGAAAAGAGTGTCACTGTGGCACCAAGTTTCACAATACTTATTTACTTGATATTTTAATGGTTTTATTTTGGTCCATCAACACCGATGTGATGACGATATTATGTTAAAATTGCTGAACACTGGGAAAAAAATTGAGCCCTGGCACTGTACATTTTGGTAACGCTTTAGATTACAGCCCGGAAAGTACTGCGTAATTAAAGCGATTTTACAGCTTAACTTTTGGTAATTATAGTGTACCTATAACGTACTTACAATATAAGTATAAGGCAACAATATTTTAAATTTGGGAAATAAAGGGGTAACAACCAGGAGAATTATTTATATTGTAAGTATTATAGAACTAAGGGGGACTTACGGTATTCTAATACTATGATACAACAATCTTACATTTGGGAGCAATTTAGCGAGAACATACACTGCGTAGCTACCTTTTTGAAATAATGGTGAACCAGTAGGCCTACATACTGTATAGGCTTTATACAAATTACAGGGTACATATCTATGCATTTATAAAGTAATCTTTTTAATAAAAGTGCACTGAAAACGAAAACTATTGCAACATTTGCTTAAATATTGGGGAAAGATACTCTTGTTTCATGTAGTGGTGCTTGTTACCCCCTTGTTCCATGTAGTTACAGGGTAAGTGTGACATTGCGGGCCGTAAATTAAAGTATTAAAGTATAAATGCATAGATATGTACCCTGTCATTAAAAAAAAAGCCTATACAGTATGTATTGGTACACAATTATTACAAAAATGTACGCAGTGTATGTTTTCGCTAAAATGCTCCCAAATGTAAGATTGTTAGTAGAATAAGAACCCCCTAGATCTATAATACTTAATACATTTTTTTTTTATTCTCCTGGTTGTTACCCCTTTATTCCCCAAACTTTACATATTGCTACCTTATATTTACATGCAAGTACTTTATAGATACACTATAATTACCGCAAGTTACACTGTAAATTCCTCTTAATTACACAGTACTTTCCGGGCTGTAATCTAAAGCGTTACCAACATTTTTATTTTTCTGACCTACATATGTGCAATTTAAGACTTTTGAAGGCCAAAAATGGATAATAAATATCTTTAAAACCATGTCAGTGGGCATTAGATTATTTGTCAATACCTGCTCTCTCCTCGTCTTCATCTTTCTTTTTCTCTCTTATCCTGCCCTATTTCTTCCCCTCCTAAAGCTGAACTTGGACTGATAGTCTTTTCATTTTCGTCTGTCAGTGAAGTAAACATAGGCTCAACTGATATTTATGTTTTATGAATCATTTTCTTAGATAAGTTAATTTACTCAAGGCTACCAGATCAGTATTGCCAATAGGAACCTTCTACAAGCTTTGGAATTTGAAAAGTAATACTTTCCACTTTAACCCCTGTATAGGCTACATTTTATTAGGCCAAAGATGCGTGTGTGGAGACTTATTTCAAGCATATTTGTCAACACTCTGCAGTACTGTCGCTCAATGACAACTATAGGCAGTCTACAAATTGAGCTATTCAAATCAAATTTAAAGCCTCACAAATTTTTTACATTTTTTAATATAATTTTTATTATTATTATATCATGGACTTGCATAGGTTATTATCTCGTGCTCTGTTGTATTGTTACGTTACCATTTATCGGAATGCCTGTATAATCATAAAGGCAAACTGTGGAACTGAATTTTGTAACACCGGACACACGAATCTCAGAGACGAGTAGGCTACTTGTGTGACAACCAACTGCGAAATGAAGTCGTCGAAACACAGCGACTGATCTGTAGACAAGACCGTCACATCACAGTGGGAAAAGTAAACGATTTGGTGATTTTCGGCACAACTACACTCACAAACCCGACTCACCTCACCTGAGTCCAGTCTCTCAACATAATTGGATTGAAACATAAATACTATGAATATTAGGTTATAATTAACTAATACAATATTTTAATATTGATTCTACATATATGTACATGTAGAATCAGCATTCACATTCACATTCACACTGATCACATTTTATATCCATGTCAGGTAGGCCTGTATATAAAACTATTCACAAGAGCCCCACTATATGCAGGGCATCAACAGTTAATTAATACTCATTACGTTCCTTCCCACGGAAAACTTTAATAAAAGGTGACAGACTTAAGCGATATGAGGTGAAACATAAAAGATTAAAAGTGTTTTTCAGGGTCCAGTATGAGAGGAAAGACAAGACTAACATCAGTGAGGGTAAGTACACTGTGACTAATACAAAGTAACACTAACCAAATCAGTACATTACAATAAACAAATAAATCTACTAGGATTTGTATTTAAGATGTATAGATGTACATAAAGCACTAAATATGATACTAATAATATGTTAAAAGTTGAGCGTGCAATGCATCATGGGAGCTCCTAAGTTAGTCACGTGACTTTCTTTTTTAAAAGTCTCTTTAGATATTTTTTATTTTTCAGCTGTCTGCTCGTTTTGTTTTCTGATGTCCGCAGGATCGGAACCAAAAAGACAAAACACATGATCCTTGACAAATTTCACAAATCATGTGTTCCAGTGTTTGGCTCCTGCCAGTGATATCCATAGACATCCTAGCCTAGCTCTAGGCCTAGACCATGAGATGGTCCTCACTGCAGAACACGAAATCCAGGGGGAGGAGTTGGATCCAGATCCAACTCCTCCCACCTTACATATACCTAAACCTACCCATCTCCGCCCCCTGATCCCTAACCCCACCCCTAATCCTACCCATCTCCACCCCCTGATCCCTAACCCAACCCCTAATCCTACCCATCTCCACCCCTTAAATCTGGATCCAACTCCGCCCCCTGGATCTCGTGTACTGCAATGAGGTGCTACTGGAGACCATAGGCCTAGAAGACTATCTGTGGCGACACCTAATGGTCATTTGAAGTCTCACTAAACTGCATTGAATAACAAGTAACACAACGGAAACAAAAATGGACAACTAGCTAAATATAATTCAAAATGCAAGATACTGTCGTCTTTTGCGCAACAGCAGTAGAATAGCCAGTAAATATGATTGCCATGATACATTGCCGCTGTCAAAAAGGCCTATCACGAAGACAGTCAACACTAGCCTTCTAATTCAGTGCTTTCTATTTTTGTCTTTTTTGCTGTATTAAAGCAATTCACTTATCAAACTGCTTACCAATATGCTCTAAAAACATTGCCTTCACTGTGTTTGACCCACCATATAAAACACAACAAGAAAGAGAAGTTATGAAGACAATGAAAAATACAAGCAATTAACAATGTGTTGTTAGAAATCTTCATATATATATTATCATATAATATATCATATTATATATTAGATATTCAATAAAACTATATCACCTGCCTGCACCATACATCCTCACACCAACATTAACCTATAACTAAACCTTAAACTAAAGTTCATTAGTTTAATCAGGGTTTGTGTGTTTAGAGGCCAATTCACACCACACAGACAAACGCCAACAAACAAGACTGCCATTGGATTTAGAATTTTATGAAAAATAATAATGTTCACACTGTCCCAACAGACACCAACAAACACTGATTGAATGTTCAGTTGGGTGAAAACAAACCCTGACCAACGCCAACAGACGACGATAGGGGTAACACACTGATCCAATGCGGTGTGAATGGGCCTTAAAGGAATAGTTCACTTAAAAATGAAAATTCTGTCATCATTTACTCATCTTCAAGTTGTTTCAGACCTCTATGAAATGCTTTTTTCTGTTGAACACAAAAGAAGATATTTTGAAGAATGTTGGTTACCAGACAGTTGATGTACCCCATTTACTTAGTAGGGAAAAATATACTGGAAGTCAATGGGGTACATCAACTGTTTGGTTACTGACATTCTTCAAAATATCTTCCTTTGTGTTCAACAGAAGAAAGAAACTCAAGTTTGAAACTTGAGGATGAGTAAATGATGACAGAATGTTAATTTTTAAGTGAACTATTACTCATTTTCCCCAAAGTAGTCAAAACATTAAATTGTTTTGAAAAAATTGAGAAAAAAAAAACGTTTTTTTTTTCTTTACTTTTCTACTTGTACAGGGTGTTAAAACTTTCAGTAACCAGCTAATCAAGGCCGATAGTATCCACCTGCTGCAATAAACGCTGATCAACAGAAATAATTTTCCTGAAAAGGAAACCATAGCGAAAAGGAACTTTGACAAAACATACTGACTAATCACTTTATTACAGATTTAAATATTATAAATATATCATAATTCCTTAGTCTGTTGTTTAAAAAGTCAGTAGTGAGCTTTTGTATAGATTAAAGATCATGTAATACTAAGCACTGGGTATGTTTTACTGAATTACTTTGAGTAAAGATACACAAATATATATGCTAAGCTAAATGAGTCACTAGCTCAGTCACCATTTGCCAACATAGCATCTTTTGTCTAAACATTAAAAGAAATGGTGACTGAAGCTGCTAGTTTGCACAGCATATACTCCACGGATAAAAGTCATAAAGGTTTAAAACAACATGAGGGTGAGAAAATGATGATGTGGGCGAGCAACCCCTTTAATCACAATGGCTAACATAATTGTGGTTCCTGCTTCTTGTGATGTTTTCTATTTACTTTTAAAACTTTTCAATGTTTTGGATGACAATAGCGCTAAAACAAGCAAAAGTAGCTGCCTCGGTCAGTAATGTTTTTCTCTGTTCTTTCTCTCACCATTGTTTTGTTAACCCAAGTGGGCTCTGTGTTGGTGCACAGCTGAGCCAATAGCGTGTCATCGTGGGCTGGCTTTATTCTATGCACGAGGAAACTATCGTAACTGATGTGTGTCGACATACTTCTCAGCCAATAATATGCTTTGAGAGGAGGGGCTATGAAAGCACCTTAACCAATCACGTTGGTTTAGAGGCGGGATGTACACATTGCTTTTTGCGCAATGTATTTGACAGTCTTCTCGACCAATCAATGACACTATGGGCGTGGTGCCTGAAAATATGGCCCATCTAAATCATTTGTGGGCAGGAATAATATTGACGTGTCCCGCCCACTGGCCGGTCTGCAGACTCACACAAATACAGTTGTGTGTTTCATAAAAATGCACTCAGATGCGTCAAGTAAGTACAATAGTACGTTTTCACTGCTATTCGTATTCTGTCGACCTGTGATGGCAACTGCGAACTTGCTGAACCCTGACAAGTCGCCGTGACTTCTTTTAAGACGTATGATTCGCTGTATTGACGCATTTTGTGAGTAAAGTAGCCGTTACCCGAGCATACAAATCATCAGATTGACTCTGAGCTTGCTAGCTGCTCTCTTTGTGTTTTTACTCCGATGTCTTGGGCGCTTGCAAGCGACAACGACCTTGCAAGGAATATCGTTGTATTCTAGCCTTCTTTGCTTGAGTATATGCAGCAATCCGAGCAAGGTATCTGATCCAATTTACACAATACACTTGTACACTAATTACCTTTAATACCCAAATAACCTTAAGGGATCCATCTCATCACAACTCGAACGAGTAATGCAAAGCCACCGAAGAGCAAGTTAAAGGTTGTTGTTTTAGAGCTAAACGGGTCAGATTTTTCCGAGAAAACTGCGGAAAAATGACTGGGGGTGAAAATTGTGACGCAGTTGTGTAAAAATTTAGTGCTTGCAAACACATTAAATGTGATCTGACGCATTACTGTACGGCCACCTGAAAGATCAACTGCACATCGTTGTGATAAAATGTTTTTGATCAAAGATAGAAAATCTTTTTTGCAGCATTTGGGTCGCATTCATCAGTTGGGGAGAGTACCGATTGAAATTATGATTTGGGGAATTCTGGGAAATGTGGTTTATTCAGCCGAGCCATTTCATTGGCAAACGTAGGCGTTGTTTGTCATTAGACTACATTCCCCAGAAGTCCACAGACTCTCCAGATACTTTGTAAAGTCGTTGCAAGTTATGTGTGTATACACTCTTGTGTTAACTATGTGTCAGAAATGTTTATTTTTAAGAGCTGTCAATATAGAGCGTTGAATGTTTGAAACATTTTGTTGCGAATTCGACTAATAGCTTACTGTTTATTACATGTTTGGGGTGTTATAACTATATCTAACGTACTGGTATTCCTGACAACTGCGTCAGAGGTTCATAAATAGGTCTCATTTTATGTCGAGTTTGCTTTAGTAATGCACTGGATTAGATACCGGGCATTATTTAAATAACATATCTTTCATGATATCTGTATTTAATGTTGTTTCGCAGGCCTGCCTACTCGCACATCGCTCATATACAAGGCCTGTACTATACATTTTTTTTTATCCGAATAACGAGAACGTGGAAGTTTATAATATGTGCAAAATGAATCATATACGTGATTTTCTTGGTGCTACGCCAGTCTTTAGTTTCTTTACAAATGAATAATGCTAACTTTCGTTTTCATGCGCCCAAAACACGTTTAGGCTACGTTTTATAAGCCGCATATTGTATTTATTTAGGTATTCCCTTTGTAAGCTAGGCCTACATATTTTCAAGATTGGAAAAAATGTACATCAAAAACAGTATAATAAAGCCATAGAAAAGTTACATAAAATATAACCAGCATATCACGCATTTACCGTGTAAACATTGGTGTTTATACACTATGTAGTTATTTTCATTATGACAAATGATATCAAGAAATCCATAAACTTTCAAATTAGGCTTCTTTATACTTTAGAATATATACATCTTTTCCATTGCACTGCATAAGGAGAATTCTTTATTCTTAGTTACTGCGTTATAGTGGGCCTTTCAAAAGATGCCCTTGACATTTACAAATGGATATCTATTCATATCTGAATATCTTGTTTTGATATTTAGGCCATATTTTCTGGAAGAATAAAAATGAAAAACTGTGGATTCAAGGGTAAATTAAAAAAGACCAATATTGATATCAAATTACTGACTTTCATTATTGACTTTCTGAATTTCTTCACATTATCACAAGCAGTGAATCAATGCACCTTTAGAAGTGTTAGGCTACGTTTAATACAAGTATAATTCTGGAATATCGCTGTGGATTTTATTTTGATTAACTGGAGTCATGTTTATCTTTGTAAGTCAGTTAAATTGACTATTAACCATCTATATTTGGGTCTGTACATATTTATTCTTAATTATCTATATCTAAACCCAAGTCTTGCTTCCACAAATTTATTCTAGATATTTGATATTCACTAGGACCTGATATTAACATGCTAGAGAAACATGACCTCCACACTGACATTTACTTTCTTAATGATGAAACCATACTATAATATAATATAAAGCAATGGACAATATTTGCCCCCCTACCTTTATAAATAACTTTGTACAATAAATAATGTTTAATATATAAAAAAGAAAATTAGTCCAATAGAGAAATATGCAATGATGGTAGAAACAAAGTGATACTAAGGGTGTATTCACACCAGGAAAGTCCGATAGTTCACTTGCTTTGGTCTGGACCAAATCTTTTTTTTTTTTTTTTTTTTTTGGTACGGTTCGCTTTCACGCTGCTCTTTTTGCAAGTGAACTGAAATTTGTAAACAAAACCACACGTGTGCTAAGGCCGTCCATTCATTGGACAAGGATTCTCAAGTAGGGAAATCAGGAAGTGCAAAAAAGGCTTAACATAAATTAACGCAGCATCATCCTTGTATTGTAACTATCGTTACATTATATGAACTGCAAATGCTTTTTTTTTGCATCTATGTGCGTTTAGACTAAAGAGAACGCTCTGTATGTGAATGTCCTGATGCACACACTCATTCATTCCATTCCAATGATGCACACACGACGCGCAGAAAGACGCGCAACAGATGTAATGTAGTAGGCTACAACAGATCACTTTCCCATAACGCAACTCCGACTACGGAAGCCTGTTAACTCAAAGGCGCAGTGCTTTCTTGCAGTTGGGTCGGTTCATGTTCACACCGTAAACGAACCGTAACAGAGTTCATTTGGAAGCGCACCGAGACCATCTCTTCAGCTGGGTCTCGGTTCGGTTGTTTGGTCCGCACCCGAGTTCGATTGCTGTATTCACACCTGCCCAAAAGGTCCGCACCAAGGGGGGAAACGAACTAGAGTTCGATTCAATCGAACCAAACAAGGCAGGTGTGAATACACCCTAAGTGAATATTAAACTAAAACCGCCAGTAGGTGGCGGTAAGGCACTGTCTTAATGAGTGAGTCATCAAGTCCATTCATTCGTTCGTTCATTTATTCATTCATTCTGTAATGAAACAAGTGGCTGTATTATGAATGGGTAATTGGATCATTGACTCATGATTCGTTCAAAAACGCTGTGTGTTGCAGTTCTGCTGTGGCTTTTGTTGGAACAATTATTTCATTGCAAAATAGAGCAAACAATACTGTTTTTAAAATGGACATCACTTGAAGGTGCAATAGGTGATCTGGGAAATGCTAACTTTAGCCTGGTAGCATTGAAATCTCACCCTCACTGCTTATCGCCATTCAAAGCCACACCTCCTCCAAAACACATGAACACACACAAACCAGAAGCGAGACGACCAGAGACAACGTTATTGGATTACATCATGTTTCATTCACTGGTGAGAAAACTTTGCAGTACAGTGAGTAACAATACTACAATAAAGAACATAAACAACTGTTTGCCTGCCATTCTCGCTCGGTCTGCACAGCGTGCGTGAACGCGCTGATGACAAATGATGTCTGCATGAACAGGCTGCGCAGTGGTATGCAAACACACGTTGACTGACATGGAACACATGCTAACATTTAATCCAGACCGAATGTAATTTTAATACTACATTAATACACATACAACAAACCACATTTTATGGCCCTACGCCTTCCACAGATGATATATATGTCTAAAAATAGACCTCTTAACATAGTGATTGCTATCAGGATATGAGGAGACTTTAAACCAGCATAACAAAAAATGTTTCTGTAGAGAATCACCTATTGCACCTTTAATATTACCCTATTGTTTGTTGTATAAAATGAATGTTGCAATTGCAATCGTGTGGATATTTGGGAAAAATTGCATTCTTGCCTTTATAATATATATCAACATTAAAAACAAGAACTTTTTTGTATCAAAGAGTTTTGAGTCTTAATCGATCTCTATGCACAGTCTGTCTAGATTTGTTCTTCATGGTAGTAAGTGCTAAATCCCCACTTTTACGAAGGTACATTATCGAGAACGGCAGTAATGTAGCTCGATTTGCTAAGGCAGCCTATCATGTGCCCGTTTGTGTGGATGCAGTCCGTTTTGACCGCAAAAAATAAGGTAATTTGATTGGAGTTTACGGCATTTTGCCTGTTAGAAATACATTGGTTTTAATGTTATTTTAAGGTGGGGTGGAATTAAATGAATGGCAAAACTCAGCATTTTGTTGCCTCGCATACACCCAGGGGTACGTGTACACCAGTTTAGGAACCACCATATAAAGATAATGGATGACAATGTTGATAGTTGACTATGCTTACAATAAAGGCACATAAAGCAGTTAAATGCGTATTGTATGCATTAGCTTATTAGAAACACTTAAGTATCTCACATGGCCTCTCATATTTATGTCACTCTACAGGCCGACTGAAGCAGATGCTTCTTTTTTCCATATTCTCAATAACTTCTACATTCTAGACTGAAGACACTGTGTGAACAAACACACAAACACATAGAAGCCCATGTACAGCCCAGATGCTTGTACATAACTGCCAGGAGTAACAGATGATTATTTTTATATCTCCCTCACAGATTTCCAGCTGAACTCTCATTTGTCCACACTGGCCAGTATCCACAAGATCTACCACACCCTGCACAGGCTGGTAAATATGGACTCCATTTGCCTGCACTTAAATACTCATCAGCTTTTTTGCCAGATTTAACATTCATGCCTTTAAGTGATTTAAACCAAGAGCATTTACAGATGGGATTTGTGCACATTTCATGTTTAGTTTATCCCTAGATGATTTATTCTTTTGTATCAATATGATTCTGGCAGGTAGACCACTAAATCCACACAAAATCAACAACATTTTCAGTTTTCAAGGTCAATACCTAAGTTTACCAATGTATCATTGATTTCTGTGCACCGTAGTTTAAGTCTAAGTTTATTTAGTGAAACTATTAGAAAAGAAATGTTCTCTGTATGCTATTGCTGAAGTTGAATCCAGCAAATAAAGGTTTGTGATTATGTAGTAAAAACTCTCGGTCAGATATTTGTTTGATTTGTCAAACAAACTAGCTTTAAACATGTTTAAAAGATAAAACATGTTAAAGAGGCTTTAGATCATAGATGATCTATAACCAGGTCTAGATGAAATCTGCAGACTTTTTTCACACACATATGCGCTATATTTGGTAAATGGTGAAATGCATTAAAAAGAAATGGGGTAGTAAAGTCTTATTAAACAGTCGGGCAATGGACAGCAGACGAGTAAAGAGTGAATGATGGGCGCTTGAAATTTGACATTCTTCTTCACACAGATTTTGTGTAGGCTGTTTATATATACAGTATCACATGCAGAATTTTGCAAATATGAGCTGATATTGTTATGTGAATATTATTAGATCAGGCCGTAAATCCCCTATTCCCCGGTTAAAGTTCTTATATTGAGATTAATGCAAGAGCTGACAGTGCTGTACTGACCGTAGGGCTGGGCGATATGACGATATTATCGTATATCGACGATGTCTCGCAAGTATCGCGATGTCGATTTAACAGTCGGTTTCCAGACGATAATCGTCAATATCAAAAAATGACAATAGGCTTATATTTCACATAGCCTAGTTAAACATATTTATTCACATCATCATGCAATAACATGAATGAAATATATTTTTATAGGCTAGTAAGTAGGATTAAGAATAGAAAATCGATTCTTGATAGCATTCTTAAAGCGCAAGACGAAAGAGAACACGTCTGCATGCGCGCTGTTTTCTGAGCTGCGCACTCACGCAAACAGCGCAAAGAGCCGCCTCTCACATAGTGCACTGACAAATACACAGAATTATATCTCACAATTATACTTCTAGTTAATTTATAGCATCACATAAACACGAATAAACATCAGAAGAATTATTGTTTCAACCGTGGAAAGACTTCAGTAGGTAGGCTACACACCTCTTTTCAAGTTCAAATATCCCCGTAAACACAGCCGGTTTTGTCTTAACGGTTGAGAAAGTAAAACAGTAGTGTCCATTGAATCAGTCCACTGACAGCGTATACTCGCTGCCACCATTAATGTTGATCAAAGAACAAAAGAAAAAGAAAATCACTCACTGAACTTTTGTAACTTTAATTAGCTTAATATTTTATGTGCCTGTTGTTCGGCGCTGACTGCTCCAACTGCAACATGAGTCTGTGCGGCCTTGAGATGCGCTCCCTGTCAAACATCATTTGTCCTTACTTTCGTAATTTTGTTAAACATTTTTCTTCATATAATCAAGTAGCCTAGGCCTATTTTATTTTGGTTTGCAGGCTGATAAAAGTTCATCAGAAAAACAAATGGTAGAAGTAGGCTAACTTTACCCGTTTCTGAATATTAATTGAAATGTTGCACATAATAAATAGGCCCAATCAAAAAGCACAAACGTGACCATTGTAATTAAAAGAAAAAGAAAAATGTCGTTATATTGCAAATGGATGAAGAAATTGCGTTTGAATAGGCTATCTCATGCACGCGTTCGGAGCAATGTTGGCAGCTCCGTAGGCTATTGGGAGCGTTATAGGCCTACTTTGCTTTAGATTAAATAAATTAATAAATAAACAAAACAAACAAAAAATCCCCAAATATAATTTTTAATGACTTCTGTTTCTAAATAAATAAAGCAGTCATTTTTATTTCTTAAACAGCTTAAGGTGAACTTGGAACTAAAACCAAAAAGGAGGAAAAAACAAAACGTGTTTGCTCATTCAGAACGACAATTCGTTTTTAATTCCTAATTTTAGACAAATAACAAATATATTATAGTGTGAAAATACAAGTTTAAAAACAGCGCTACACATAGGAAATTAAACTTATTATTAAATCAGGCGATACCGCCAAAAAAAGGAGAAAATCGGACCTTATGAAAAACAAATAGACAAGACAAGACACCTAGCTATAACATCAACATGCATTCACCATTCTTACAATCACCAAATTGTGTTCTGTTCTGTTCAGTTGTAGGCCTATTTAACATTTCTCCTCGCGAAACGAAATTCGTTTCAAACACAGATGCAATAAGAACAGTGAGGAAATTATTAGCAACAGTAACATAACAAGCAAAGCTAATGTTTTATGCTCGTTTAAGCTCAAACTAGTGATGTATGTCTCGAGACCGGTCTCGAGACCACTTTTACGTGGTCTCGGTCTTGTCACGGCCTTGACGGTCTTTGGTCTCGGTCTTGTCTTGGTCTCGGACCTCCCGGTCTTGTCTAGGTCTCGCTGTCTCAGACCGACATAGTGGTCAGGGGATTGAGCAATACAATACTACAATATCCACGACGATATCCGCAACGTATTGAAGCGCGCGTCCGAGTGAAGAGAGTGCGGTGCGCGCGAGCCACGCGAGAAAACACTGTATCCGCGCCACTGATCGCAGCGGCAACGAGCACTTTGATCACTTGATTTAAAAAAACACATATCATGTACAGTTTTTGATATATTAATATTTATTAAAACACATATCAGTGACATGATGGGTTTTACCTTCATTCAGGAGATTTTGGGTAACTGCACAACTGACAGATGACTTTGAGCGCACCGCCAACGGTGTGTGTGTGTGTGTAACCATAGCGACAAAAACGACCAACTTTCGGATCCTGCACTTAAGCCTATAATTTCGTTTTTAAAAATATAATTATGTATTTAAAAGTTGCAGAATGGATTCATTTGGAGACTTCGAAATCAGCAGAGATAGGCAGGCAAATGCAAAACAACATTTGACAAGTTATTGCTTAGCTTCAACACTAATGTTTTTTTCCCCTCCGGTCTTGACTTGGTCTCGGTCTTAGTCTCGACTTGGTCTTGGTCTCGTCTTGGTCTTGGTCTTGGTCTTGTCTTGGTCTCGATACCATCTGGTCTTGGTAGTGTCTTGGTCTCGGTTTAGGCGGTCTCGACTACAAGTCTAGCTCAAACTAACCAAAGTAAAACCTTTAACGTTTCAATCATTAAATTAAACCAACTAAATCGCAGGCTATCATTAGATAAAGTGCAGCCAAACTCAACATGACTTGTGTTAACGTGTATTCCGTATGTGTTGTCTCCAGCGGGGCGCATAGGGGGCGGGGCTTGGGTAGACGATATAATCGGATATCGCGATATTTTTTAAGGCGATTATCGATAAAATATTTTTTACATATCGCCCAGCCCTAACTGACCGGTGTACTGGTAGATTAGCATTGTGGGATAGCTGTGTTTGGCTATATAAGAGTTTAGGACTCTCAACGGCATTATTACGTACTACAAAATTAACCTTTGATCAAGCCATTTACTTAAATAACTACCCTCATAACCCTGATTGACACAGAATTGTGTTCTACATGATCTTATTTCCAGAACTCTCCTCCCCGATGTCTTTGAGAAAGCTGCACTGGCAGCATCTGTAAAGGTTACAGGAAAAAAAGATGATCCGCCACCTACATCACACACTTGCTTACTGTCTTTTTTTTTGGCGCGGTGCTAATAGCTGCTTGTCTGCTGCAGAATGTTGTTTGAGTAGAGATAGAGAGAGAGAGAAAGAGTGATGGTGGTTGTTAAATACAGTCTCTTTCTCACCGTAGCACCTGACAGAAGACGTCGGCCCAGAGACTCACGGCACAGGTAGTGACCTGCCCAATCTCTCCATAACCTAATCAACTAATATCAATTATATATATATATATATATATATATATATATATATATATTTATATATTTGTGTGTATGTGTAATTTTTACTTCTACACTACTGTTCAAAAATGTGTCAAGTAAAAAAAATAAAAAAATGAAATTAATATTTTTATTTTGAAAGGATGAATTAAATTGATCAAAGTAAGGACATTGCAAAAAAAAAATTCACTAAAGATTTCTATTTCAAATAAATGCTATTCTTTGAACTTTATTAGAACATTTTTTAAAAAATGTATCTGTACGGTTTCGACGACAATATTTAGCAGCACAACTGTTTTCAACATTGATAATAATGAGAAATGTTTCTTGAGCACCAAATCAGCATATTAAAATAATTTCTCAAGGATCATGTGAAACTGAAGACTGGAGTATTGATGCTGAAAATACAGTTTTGTCATCACAGTAATAAATTACATTTAAACGTATTAATTTTAAATTGTAATATTTCACAATATGACTATTTGAAAGGTAGTGTATTTTTACTGTAATCCTCATATTTGTCCCCTATAGAAGTCCCATTCCTCCAGGTCTTAATGTTCAAGCTTTATAAAGGCTCTATTGAGCTTGCAGGACGTCTCATCAGGCCCGGTTCTACAGGGGTGCTTGATGAAAGCTTGTAATAATAGCATATTGGCGAAAACAGATTTGGAAAACGCTCCAGAGTGTATTTGTGTTTAGGCTCTGGAGAACGTCAAATGTTTCTATTTAAAACGTGTTTTTGCAGAGGTGAAAAATGAGAAATCACAGAGATGTTTGTTAATCTCTTGAATGCAATGGCAATCAGAGAGGTGTTTTAGTCCACTCACTGCTTAAAATGCCGTCGTTTTTGTTCAGTGCTGAGTTCTGCACATTCGTGAATCTCATTAGCAAATAAATTTACAAAGCAAGTAAGAGATTCTTTGTACAGTGTAGACAGCTTCATTGATTATAATGGAACTTTGTGAGATCGTGATGAACTGAGATGAGTGACAGCTTCTTTAGTCTTTGCGCGCTTTCGAGGCTATATATAAACCATTGAATACATTTTTTTTATGCTGCTGAGGACTGATGGCCAATTACACATGCTACAAAGTTTCGGAAGTGACATCTACATATAAATGTAGGATTCACCCTCGAATTTGAATGAGCAATGTAAATGGTAAATGAACTGCATTTATATAGCGCTTTCACAGACCCAATGGCCACCAAAGCGCTTTACATTTACATAAATGCAGACTAATAGATTAATAGAAAAATATTAATATCAAAATATTTTTTAAATTCTATTCAAAATAATCTTAAATGTTTCTCTGTACATTGCTATTTTTGTCATGGTGGAGCCTTTGCTTACACTTGCTTACACTATTTTCAGAAGCACCCTAAATTTTTTGATTCTGGAACCGGGACTGCGTCTCATGCAAATTATATGAGGACATATATATGAGGTTTGTGGGAGGGAATGGCTGAAAAAGAGAAACAAAAATAATCACCATCTTTGTGTTCTGTCTCTCTGTGTTTTTCCAGCCTGCTGCTCCAGAGCCATGCCCCCCAGGAAAAAGAGGAGACCCACTGCTGGAGATGACCTGTCTGCTAAGAAGAGCCGGCAGGATAAGTATGCTCAAAACATCACCTTTCCATTCATCCATCTCTCCAGCCTCTTCATCTCTGTCCATTCCATGTCTGTTGACTTTCCTCTAATTCACTCATACATACACACTCATTTATCTACCCAACTTTTTGATTAACAACTAAACTAGGTACCTAAACTAGGCCCCCTGTGGTGAAAATCAAGTTTTTAATAAATATTTAATGAATGCTTTAAGACAACGTGCAAATTCATAAGTCAACACCATTGCTGAGTATTTTCTCCTTAAAACTCCTGTGAAACAAAGACCGTCTCAAAAAACATGGTTTGAAATCGCCTGCGTTTCTTACATCACAAACTACCTTGTAACCAATCACGTCAACGTGCGGGCGGGCTTTAGCATATCACTACTATGCTAGAGAAGCCGGGTTATCCCAATGTATTTTTCTGTTGATATGAAAAATCGGGTACATTTAGCAATATAGCGGGTGAATTATGCATGTGATGTATGTTATGATGAACTATATGCCTTTCTCCACTTACGTTCTATGATGTTCAAAGCATTTCTAAGGATGCTTTATTATTGATTTTTAGAAGGCAGGCTGAGATGGTGAATGGGAACATGGTTTGTGTAACATTAGCAACACATTATTAGCTGTTTGATAACACAGTCAAGCAAAAGTTTAATCATATGAATTACTGTTGTGTGTCCAGCGTTGTAAAAAAGTGTCACCATTGTGCAGCGTTTACTTCAGTAAGTTGACAGAGTGAATCTTTTAGCTCGCGTGAGTGAGTGAAAGCTATTTTAAGGAATGAATATTTATTTTTTTCACAGGAAAAAAACGTTTAAATATGTCATTTTGGTGAACAAAGATGAGAATTCTGTATTTATTCACAGAAGAAACTGAATGTTATAATAATGTAAAAAGTAAGTATCAGATCTGTGTTTGTGGGTGGATTTTTGCCCTCAGAGCACATGTCTCTACTTGTTTGTATCAGATGCAGCACGTTTGCGCTTTAATGTTCATACAAGTGTGTGTTAATGTATATTTAAATAGCATCTGCTCAGTCCTGTCTATTCATTTCAGTGTTTACAGAAAACAGGAGACATTGCAAATCCAGGAGGCTGAAGCTTTTTCTAGCAAGAGATGTCTAGAGTGGTTTTATGAATATGCAGGTATGTACGCAAAGTCATGTTGAGTTTTGTTATGTTATGAACTATCATAAACTGACTTTTTAATGTCATTCGGTATGTTTACATGGACAACAATATTCCGATATTAAGCAGATTAAGACAATACTCTGATTAAGAAACTACCATGTAAATAGGGATTTCTGATTACTTTATTTCCTGCTAAAGTCATACTCAAAGTAAATTAGGGGTTAAGTAGTGGTGGTTGGGGGTGTTGGTTTTAAAAGTAACATTTATCTCACCTAAATGTTTGCTCACTCATTGTATTTGTTTTTTTTACAACGGGGTAATTTTGTTGCTCAAGAGTTTACACAACACAAGGAAGCTTGATTTCAAGTTTTGAATTACACTGAAAAGAGTAGCACACATAAATACAACTGAATAAAGATACAAATTAAATAAAGAGAAAAGACTATCCAGTGTTATTTTACATTTCATTACTTTATTCAGTTTCTGTAGTATTTCTGTACCTGAATGCTAGTGTTAGACCTATCCGAAAGGTCTAACACTAGCATTCAGGTATAGAAATACTACAGAAACGGAATAAAGTTATCAAATGTAAAATAACCCTGGAAAGTCTTTTAGTCCTGTATTAATTAAATACATAGGCTATTAATCCTAATTCTTTACAATTAAAGCTATCTTTTGTTGCTTTATGAACATTAATGCTGCTGTCATTTTAAGAGCTAGTGAACGGATTCATTATGCATGCTTTTCTTTCTCAATTTATTTGTTTGTGTTTGTGTTTATTTAAGACATAACCAACTGTGTTTATGAGGATACTCGCCAAGACCAAAATTTTGACATAATTTTGTGTTTTTGACCGTTACAGTCCTATAATCCGTGAAAAAGTAGACAGTTTTGTTACTCGTGAGCTGTTTGTGAGGCTGCTTTACTGTATGTATGTGCGCAGAGGAAACCATCTCTCAGAGAGCGTGCAAATACTGAATAGTTTAAAACCGCTTGACTGTTTAAATTTGTAAGACTTATATGGAAGGAAAATAATGCCAAATGTAACAAAATAAGCTTGTTGAATTGCACTACTTGGAAAAATATGAATTGCAATAAGCATGCTTGCATTTTACATTGTATTTTTAGGGCTTGTATTTTTATGGTCTAAAATTCAACATGGTTGTATATTTAAGCTGTGAATATTTCAATTCAAAACATTTCACACACATTTTCATTATTAAAAATTCAATAATCCATATTCACCTTTCAGATTTCACTTCCAAAATATTAATTCTGTTTAAAAATGCAACCTATAATATTTGAGAGGCAATTTTAGGTCTATTTTATTTTGCTTTACAAATTCGCTTCCACAAATTCAGTGGTTCAAATTCGACAGTGAAAAAATAGCAATATTTACACACGATTTGACAGTTTATTTTATTAAATCTAAAAAAATCTAAAAGGTGTGCATTATGCCTGACACCTACATGAAACCTTTACAGTTGGTTTTATGTCAAGTCAAGTCACCTTCATTTATATAGCGCTTTTAACAATATAGTTTCGAAGCAGCTTTACAGTGATAATAGGAAATTAAAGTAACAGAGATTAATTTGTTACAGTGATAATTGGAAATTAAAGTAACAGAGATTGTTAAAGTGATAATAGGAAATTAAAGTAACAGAGATTGTTTTGGCTTTACAGCAGCTCTAGAATAAAGTTATTGTCCAGCTAAAGTTAGTTTTGATTGATTCACTTCCATTGCAAAGATCATTAGTTGATCAACAGCCGCTTGCACATCCTGCTGGTGAGGTCGACTAACAGCAGATGGAGATTATGAATCGGTAATCTACTGATATTCCTGCAGTTCCCGGTGTTGTGCCGAATTTCGACCCCGCCAAATTATTACCCCCCTAGCATTGGTAGGTTTATGATTAGTTGTGGGGGTGGGGTTAGGAATAGGCAATCAGGTACTGACTTCAACGAGGGGGGTAATAATTTGGCAGGGGGTCGAAATTCGGCACAACACCTGTTGTGAAATGTTGAATTTGAACCACTGAATTTGTGGAAGCTAATTTGTAAAGCGAAAATAAAATGGACCTAAAATTGCCTGTCGAATATTATAGGAATATTTTGAAAGTGAACTCTGAAAGGTGAATATGGATTATTGAATTTTTAATAAGGAAAATGTGTGTGAAATGTTTTGAATTGAAATATTCACAGCATAAATATGCAACCATGTTGAATTTCAGCCCATGAAAATGCAAGCCTTAAAAATATAATGAATTAAAATGCAAGCACGGTAAAAACATTTTTCAATTAGTGCAATTCATCAAGCTTTTTTGTTTAAAAAACATTTGCCATTGTTTTACTTCCATAGATTTATAGTAACACCAGGTAACTTTTCAACCTTCATAATATATTTCCAAGTCTCTTGTGATGGTACATCGACTTACAATAGGTTGAATGACACGTCTGCCATAGCCTGACGGGGTCTGTAGCGTTTTTAATCGTACTTTTAAACTTCGGGTTTCGGATAGTAACCGGCGAACAAAGAGAACTACAAAATTCGACTGCTTTACGGCATATACGTCACTTCCACCGCCACCCCCACTTCCTTAAAATCGGACGTGCGAGCCAAATGTTATAGTCATGGCCGAAGCAGCACAGAAAAACAAGAAAGCAAAGGTTTTATCGGAGCAAAGCAAAAAGAGAAAAAGAGAAAGTGATCGCGTTAAAGGCAGAACGAGGATCAACATTGGGCCAGCATTTTCTCGCTGGCGTGAGCTGAAGGAGGAGGAGGGGTGCCCGACCGATGCGGACTTGGCAAAAAAAAATCAAAAATCAAATGAAAGCCTGTATCAAAACGGCGTGTACAAGTTTGGTAGGGGCTACATTCTTGCAAGTAAATATATAAGATGTACAAAATCATATTTTTAGGATACCTAACATGTCTGTGATATTTGTTTATTTGTCTTGCCTCAAGCTATAATGCAAATCGATTTGTAAAATTTGCAGATTCATTTATGGTAGCTTGATATTATAATATTGACGATATATGGTTATCTACCACTCAAACATTGCATTGAAGTATCATATAGATCCAGTAAAACGGTAACCAATAGACTAGGCTACTATAATGACGCTGGCTTGTAAACGTGATCATCGCGATCATTTGTCGTTAGAAAAAAATAAAACCCATGAAATTATATTCATATGACATGCTGAAATATATGCCACTGTACCTGGGATGAAGACATTTCAGACAAGACGCAAGCAGAACACCTGCATGTGACCTCCTCCTACAGTGTTCAGGGCTATCGTGGTTGTCAAACAATTGCACGTGCATGTAGGATGACAGAGTTTACGACAGTAGTAGAGGTCTAGAGGACAATACTGTTTCCCAACTGTAGGGGGACCCCACCCCGAGAGCAAAAGTAACCTGGTGTTACTTTAAAAAAGTGCAAATTATAAACTTTAGTGACGATGCAACACTGGTCCGATTGTGCAAATGACAATTCTGTCAACTGTCCCAAGTCCCAAAACGTGAGAGTCTGGTATCTCTGCCAGTAACGTACTCGAAAACTCTTGAAACTTTGCACACGGGTCAGAACTGTGTGAGAGCGAGAGCAAGAGAAGACGCAGAACCACTGAATCAATCACACAGTTTGTGAAATTACGTCTCGCAGAGAGTTTTTTAAAATAATTTTTATAATCTGTGTGGATTAATTTACTCATACAACCTACATGCTAGAGTGAATAAATATTTGCGGGAATTTCCCGCATTATAAGCACGAGACCTGCAAGAATGATTTAAAATTATGCGCAATACCTGCGCCGAAATTCGAGCCCTGAGAACTGTATGTTGATACGGAGAGAACGTTGGAATGCGTGGCATGGTGACGTAAAGACGTAAGGTTAATAATTAAATTACTGCTGTCCATGTAAACTTAGTCATTGGTAAGGTCTTAAAATGGTATAATCACATCAAGAGCTGATAAGCTCATATAATTTGACTTGAAATGTCTAGAAGGCAGTGAATAATGTCAGCTAAATTTATGCTAGTTTTTTTTTTTTCCTTTTCTTTTTTTATTCAGAATTCCATCCTTGTGACTTCAGAGACTTTCCAAATGAAGTTAAGATGTAAATAGAGTGACTATAAGTATATACTAAAATGTATTTGGGCACTTAAGTCACACTTAAAAAAATGTCCTAGCAGAATAGAGTTGTCCAAGACTTTTTGTCTTCATTTTGAACAATATATCTGTTGCTTCATATTTTGAATCCTAAGATTAGATTTCAAACAAACCTTTTTTTAAATGTTTTGTTCAGTTGTTTTTTTGTTTTGTTTGTTTTTTTGATTGAAGTGTCCTTAACCCTTAAATGCATGAATGTTTCGCCAGTCATTATTACATATTCAGGTCTTTAGCGACCTGGATCTATATCTAACACAGATGCATCTCTACGTGTCGCGATAACATAAAACTCTCCTGATATTAGAGTAACAATTACAGAAGAATAAAATAAAGCATATTTTGTTACCTTTTGGAGCTTGGAAGTGTTTAGTTTGAGCAGATGTTTTATACCATCATCACTGTCCTCGTCAGAGATCATTTCCCAGTACATTCAGCATCTGGCTCATATTCTCGATCTCAAACATATTTTCAAAACGATAATTGTCAATATCTTCAAAATCAATCTTTTGATCACTGAAAGCTTCGCCAGATCCACCATTAAGTGACAGCGACACTAATATTTGATTGCGTACAGTACTTGCTCTGCAGTAAATCACTGAGCCATTTCAAGTACTGCTGATAATACTTCCTATTCTTTTGTTTTCTGCCTGCGGTAACTATGAGTGAAAAGTCACTTCATTGTGTATCAGACATTGCCACCTTGTGTAATAAAGGTGAATTTCACTTATTCAGTAATCAAAGATTCAATTGTTGTGCAGAAAAAATATACTTGCACTGTTACACACCTCAGGTCGTTAGCGTCCCTATACAATTTTTACAAAAAGTAAATGGGAAGACAGGCATTCTTTTATAATTGTATTGTTGTTTTCTTGTTATATTGTTTAGAATGAATTGATTGAGGAATACTAAGAAGGTTGATGTCTTTAAAAAATGAATGAGGAGGAGGGTATTGAATGACATCCTGGGTCTCTAAAGACCCACAGTATGCGTTTAAGGGTTAAGGGCCACTGGTTTTAAAATGTTGTTATGCAATTCAAATACTTAAAAAAAAAAATATATATATATATATATATTGTGGCTTAAGTGTCCAAATACTTTTTGGGGCCAATGTATATAAAAGTAAAAATGTGTCTGCATGTGTTGTGTTAATAGGGTGTGATGATGTGGTTGGACCAGAAGGGATGGAGAAATTCTGTGAAGACATTGGAGTGGAGCCAGAGAATGTAAGAAACTAAATGAATGTGATATGGTTTTACATTTTCCTCTAAAAACATCTCATCAGTGGTCCTTTTAATGTATATTTGTACGTAGGTGGTGATGCTGGTATTGGCCTGGAAGCTTGATGCCCAGAGTATGGGTTACTTCACTTTACAGGAGTGGCTCAAGGGAATGGGCTCTTTGCAGTATGTCTGGCTAAACATGGACCTTGTATACATCTACTACCATGCTACTACACTTCTTTCTGTCCCAAACTTTACTTTTCCTATTTTTTTGTCATATGCAGATGTGACTCTACTGAAAAACTCAGGAACTCTCTAGACTACCTGAGGTCCGTCCTCAACGATGCCACCAGTTTCAAGCTCATTTACCGATATGCCTTTGACTTTGCCAGGGTGAGTATGTGTAGGACTGATTGATGAACACTTATCATTGTTGACTTTAAAAGCTCTTGTAGTCTTTTAATACTTCAACACTATATTTGGTTTAATGATTGCCTGTGACTGTGCATCTGGATCCTTTCTGAATAATTTTTTTTTTGCTCATCACAGTTCTTCAGTTACAACAGACAAGGGCTTGAGACTGCTGAGAGATGGTGCTATTTTAGGTTGTTTTACCTCTTTGTCTGCTCAGCAGAAGTATCTCTTGTCCCTTGTATCTTTTTCCCATTCCCTTGGTATGAATTGTAAAGCGAATGGAGATTTGCTGAGTGAAGCTCTTACAGGAGCCATTCGATAAGACCAATAAAGTGGATGAGTACAAATAAATAGCTTGTGGCAACCTTGAATGGATAACATGACATCCATCCTGTCTAGATAAAACAGAAATGTTCACGTCTGGGCTTATCTTGTATAGAGCACTTAGTCCATTCTCCAGCAGTGAAACCATATTTCATGGCTGTTAGAGAAGTGATTTATCTTGTATTTTTGTTTTTAAATATTGGGCACAGAGAACCTGAAGCATTGTTATGGTGTCAAGGGATAGGGACAATAATCATGTTTGCCCTCGGGCACTTGTATTATCATATGTTCAAGCTCAGGCTGCTTAGAGTATAGAGTACACAGTACAGTAATTTCTGAAACAGTCCTCCAGGAGCAACCTGGATTTAAGTACTTTGGCAATAATGGGTCATTTATAGATTGTTACCTCACTACCATGATTGCCAACTCAGTATTTTTATTGTGATGTGTGAACTTGTATTCAAAATGTTTAAAATTGAACATGGTTCCCCCCCTTTGTAGGAGAAGGATCAGAGGAGTTTAGACTTGAATACTGCCAAGTGTATGCTGGGACTTCTGCTTGGGAAGACCTGGCCATTGTTTCCAGTGTTTAACCAGTTTCTAGAAGTAAATATTTTAATCTTTACCGTTTATCAGTGTAACTTTAATAATTTTACAATACCAGTCAAATGTTTTGACCACTTGCAGATTCATTATTACTGCTTTCCACATTTTAGAATAATATAAATGTCATAAAAACGATGTACATACAACACAAACCTTAAACGGCATATTATTTGACATTCTCTCAGCCAACTTCTTGGATCTAGGAATACTTTTTAAACCGCATTGAAGGTGTTCACAAACTGGCCATTTTGTTGGCTGCTTTTATGTTCCAACTCATCTATGTTCCAAAACAATTAATTAAAATTAAATTACATTTAAATTGCTCCATGTAGACATTCATATGTAACCACAATTTAGATTTAGAATAAAGCTTTAAAGGTGCAATATGTAATATTGACAGTTAGCAGTTGAAATGGGTACTGCAGTCCAAATTCTAAATATTGGAGTAGAGTTGTTCACCCGTCCCCTCCTCCAAAGACTCAATGCTCATGTGGGTTGCTAGATTGAGGACACGCAATTGACAATGAAAGCCGAGGAGACTTGTACACTGGAAATTGATTAGTTGATTTATCCGTGTTTTAATATGCTTCTGTTCATAGAGATTTTTAGATGGATGCTTTTTAGGTCGGATATAATCTGTAATCTCTGAGCCGTTTGTTTATTGACTTCCATGGCTGCAATACGCTGTGTTTTCCACCAACTGGCAACCTGGGGTGTTGAAATACTATTGGGTAAATTGGCAGTGGGTGGAATCACACAGACCAAAACAAAAACAGACATTCTGACACGGAACGCACATTTCAAAGTAGAATAACTGGCTGTAGCATTGTTTTAGTTTTTTTATGTATGCGAGTATGTGAACTTAGAATGTTTCCTAAATATCTGCAAACATTATGGTATTTTTATGCTTTAGTACAGTCAAAAAATGACATACAGCACCTTTAAATATAAGGGAAACAAAATCAGTACAAACTTTTGACTGGTATTTAATACATATATTTGCACATCAGTACATATTCTATGTCAATTACATTTTTTGACAGTGACATATCCCCCCCCCCCCCCCCCCCCATTTTTATCCCCCCACAGCAATCTAAGTATAAGGTTATAAATAAAGATCAATGGTGCAATGTTCTAGAATTCAGTAGGACTATCAACCTTGATCTCAGTAACTATGATGAGGACGGGGCCTGTGAGTACAAGCACCCACACTTTAACACGTCTGTATACTTCTAATTATACCCCAATTAAGACATCCATCATTATTTTGTAAAATGCAGCTGGGAGTACATCAGATTTGCCTTTTGACTATTTTTTCTCTTTGCTTAGGGCCAGTGCTGTTGGATGAGTTTGTGGAATGGTATAAAGATCGAGAGATGTCGTAGCGACAGCTTCCCCATGCTTACCGCCATCACCAACTAGAAACTAATCGCCAACAATCACCATGACAATGACGACAGAAACGGCTTTGAAACAAACATCTAGAAAACAAAGTACAAATCAAAACGGAAGAGTTTGGGACAGACTGATGGTGGCCTCCGGCTGTGAGGGCTTGAGTGTGTGACTGTTTGCATAGAATGTAATATCAATGCACATGTTTGTATGTCGCCCTTTTAGTCGGGGCCATAGGAGGGTCACTGGTGGTTGTGTGTTGGAGAAACAGCACCTCACCGACTCCACCTAATACCCCCCATAGCCCACAATGCACTGTGGGTAAGCACACGGCCAGCCTCGGAGCCGCCTTCCCACCCCACTGTGATGTTTCATATTGCTGTGAATGTGAATGAATAGGCTCTTAAAAGGAGAATGAATTTCTCCACAAGGCAGGGTAGTTAAAAACTCCCATACTGTCTGAAGATTTAAGACATTTAGGTAATTTGGCCCTGGAAGGGCAGAGAAAAGCAGGAACAAGCACCTGCTTGGCTTTTTACTGAAGGTCGGTGACTAGATACTAAGACTTTTTGGTTCAAAATGGAAATAGCTTACAGTATCACTCTGCTGATGTGGTCCAAACACTGTTTACTAAGGTTTTTACGTTGGAGGAGGATGACATTCAGAGCATGTTTCCATAGTTACATAGCGACCTATGCCGTAAGTTTTATTTTTACCAGTCTCACTGCACTTGGTTGCCATTTAATAAAGCACACCACAAGCAAGAGTGTCATAGACATTCTGCTGTAAGTACTTCCTGTGGTATCAGTATACCTTTCACCACTTCATTTTTGATATTGATTATGAGATCAACTTGAATAGCTTTACTGTTTGCAAAATGAAGAACAGAGGCTATACTTATCATGAACATAGAGCCCAGTATCTTTTTCCTGACTCGCATGTCCATTGTGCATACACGCTGGCAATGGCAGATATGGCCATCTTGTAGAGGAGTGTGAGCAGGTTAAATTGACTGCAGAATGCATTAATTATATCATTTGATTCCTTAGCAATGTAACTAAACTGTGCATGTCATTAAAATGACAAGACATGGATCTAAGTGATGGAAAAGAGACAGGACAGAAGAAAGCTGTTAAAGTGCACTTTTGATTTCTGTGATGAATTGCCACAAAAATATAAAAACAGGTATTCTGCCCTAAACACTGACTCTCATTTGGCCACATCCTCGTCCACAGATCTTGTGGTCAAATATGATCAATTTAACCCATAGTGACCAATGCCTAGCAACTATTTAACGTTCTAGTTATGTTTGTAAAACTGTTGAGTTTTGTCTATGGCTGTGGCGTGAAGCTAACTTGTCATTTGAACAAGAACAAAAGCATGCATGCATTCTGCAGTTAGAGCTGTCTTTGTGAATGAATGAGGTTTTTCCTTTTTTTGCTCTTGTTTTTTTTGTACAGGTATTTGTAGAAGTGGACTTTTTGTGCTTAATTTGGGTATCCGCGGTCATGCAGTCTTAACGCTTTATGAAAAACATGATTGTGTGATGGTATTTAGAGCTTAAACACACTTGTAACCTCATCTGTTGAGATGTTCTTCTCTGCATTGCCTCCTCCACCATCTCCACCAAGTGCTAAACTACCCAGTTCATGAGTGACTGCAGCATTTCAGTATATCTGCAGCGTCATGAAAATGTACTAATTTTGTTATATGGAATTAGAGAACAGAGACAAAATCATTGTTAACTTTATCAAAGCATATTTTGGGTAACAAAAGTTTTTTTCTGGTTACAAGACATTTTTGTTCTGTTCAGATTGTTTTTCTCTGAAAGATGGAGGTTGCTAACCATAAATTATTGATTAAGTATTCACTTAGAATCTAAAAAGCCAACAGTCTATGTATGCTGTGCATGCTGGCCAGAATCCATTTGGATAATTTCTACAGACACTTGTCATAATCCCAGTCATCTGCACCTGTTTGTGCCTGAGGGAAATGGTGGTTTAAAATGACTTTTGAACAGATAGACAAGCTCCCCTGTGTCATTATGACTTGCTTTTTTGGGGGGGGGGAGTATGTAATGCAGAGGGTTGAGCATTCTCATCGGACTGTATATATGTATGGATGTGTGTATAAGTGTTTGTTTTCACTGTAACCTCTCTACATTCAATATATATAAAGGGGTTTATTAACTAAATGTGGAGTTATTTTAATCTGTTCTAAACGTCATGTTTTGAATGAGAAATTACTTAGACTAACTATTCTGGGGTCATCCTGGGGGTCTCCCGCTGTCATTGTGTGCAATTAATACCCTCTGGATTTTTTTTACTACTGCATATCATGACTCATAAAATCCACACAGTGTTTATGATCTTATACAATACACATTCTTATTTACATTTATACATTGTTTCAATTCAAAAAAACTTTTATGAAATACTAAAAGAAGTTTAGGTTACGCTCATAATTATATTACAGCATTTACAATACTTACTAAAAAGCAAATCCCCATCCTCAAAGCTGAGATTTTAAAAGCATCAGCTCAGATTTGTGCAACATTGTCTGTTAGACAAGTCAAAACTCTTTGTCTAAATTAAAAATTCCTTATACTTTGGAGTTGAGATATTCTTAGTTTTAAGGCCCCGTAAAACTGGGGCTTCAGCTCCTTCTGTGTGGCTGGAAGCGGCTGTGTTTCTTGTAGAGATAGTGCTGTAAGTTCGTTCTGTTTGTAACTGTGTCGCTCCTCCATAATCTTTAGGGGATTTGTCCTGCTGGTTACCCTCTTGTTGCATGGAGGAAAGGGATGCAATGTTGAACTTGTCCATTTCCGTTCTTCTTTGCTGCAGTAATCGTCTGCGTTCTTGCCTTTGAAGGACTTCGGAATTTTCTCTGAGATATTCTCTTGCATCCTCCTGTTCCAATGAAGGTGGGGATGTCTGTGGAACTGCTGGTAATTCATCTTGTGGTGGTTGTACATCCATAACCTGATGTCCTACAGATTGTATGTCTCTGGACAAGGAGCTTGAACTTGACTTCCTAAATACTGACTTTAGGCCAGTCTGTTCCACTGAACTGTCCATAGACTCTCTTGTCATAATGTTGTCCTTGAAACTAAAGCCAGACATCCGTGATTCAGATGCAGTCTTTATTATCAATGCAGACCCTTTTTTCATAGAGACAGGAGGTGACCCCTCAGATGATAAACCGGGCCATGTGATTTCTACGTCTGCATTCATTGTAGGTGTTAAATCCTTTTTCATTAATTTGGTTGAAGAAGTAGGTTCACTCTTTGTAAACGTAACGTACCTCTTTAACTTTGGGATTTTGTCAAGAGATATACCAATTTCTTGAAAGAAATTGTCATGATTTCTTCTTTGTTTAACATCATCATATGAAGTTCTGAATTTCTTTTTTTCTTGTACTTCCCCTATATTTATGGATTTTACAGTGTTTGAACTAAGAAATGATGACACAGCCGTGGAATGAGGTTCTGATTGTGTGAACTGAACATACTTCTTTACTTTTGGGATACTGGCAAAAGATTTGTCTTTTTCTCCAATGATATTATAATCCGTTGAAGATGGTTTAACGTATTTAGATGAAGTGCTTGATATCCTTGTTTCTTGAGTTACCCCAGATATTCCAGCTCTTTCAGTTAAGACAGCAGTTGATGGCCGAGCAGGATATTGACTTTCAGCAGGTATGAAGTGAATGTATCCCTTAACTCTTGGTATTCTGTCAAGATTATCAGAAGAAGTGCTATGTGTCATTGATTCTGCTTTGTTTCCATTAGTAGCTGGTTGTATATCATCTTCAGCTGATGTGCTGGATCCCTTTAATTCTGTTGCTGTCACCTTTATGGATTTAACAACATTTGAAGAATGAAGTTGTGACTGGGCTGAGGAATAAGGTTCATATTGTGTGAACTCAATGTACCTATTTACTTTTGGGATATTGTTAAGATGTTCACTTTTTTCACCAATGATATTGTCATCATTAGTAGATGGTTTAACATCATCTTCAGATGAAGTGCTTGGTCTCCTTGTTTCTTTGGTAACCACAGATACATCGACTCTTTCAGCTGAGAGAGCAGTTGTTGCCTGAGCAGGAGATTGAATTTCAGGATCTGTGAAACGAATGTATTGCTTAACTTTTGGAATTTTATCAAAAGGTGCTCCTATATGTCCACCAAAATGGTCTTCCTCAGCAGTTAGTGTGTCATCATCCACAGATGAAATGCTTAATCTCCTTGTTTCTGAAATGACCTCAGATATTCCATCTCTTTCAGCTGATAAAGCAGTTGTTGACTGCTCAGGGGATTGATTTATAAATTTAATATATCTCTTAACTCTTGGTACTCTGTCAAGACGTGCTTCTGTTTGCCCAAAGACATTGTCTTCCTTTACGTTCTCCTTAGGAGATGGTTGTGCATTATCTTCAACTAAGGTACTAGATCCTCTTGATTCTGTTTCTGTCACCTTCATGGACTTTATAGTGCTTGGAAGAGGAAATGGTGCAAGACCCTGAGAAGGTTCAAATTGTGTGAACTTAATGTATCTCTTTACTTTTGGGATTTTGTCAAAAGATGCACCTCTTTCTACAATGACATTATTATCATGGGATGACTTATCATCAACTTCAGATGAAGTGCTTGATCTTCTTGTTTCTTGAAAACCCCCAGATATTCTTTCAGATAAGAGAGCGGTTGTTGTCTGAACAAGGGGTTTACTTTCATGCTTTGTGAATCGAATATATCGCTTAACCTTTGGTATTTTGCCAAGAGATGCTCCAATATGTCCAAAGACATTGTCTTCCTTAGCGGTTAGTGTGACATCTTCCTCAGATGAAGTGATTGATCTCCTAGTATCTTGATCTACCCCTGATATTCCAACTCTTTCAGCTGAGACAGCAGATGTTGACCGAGCAAGGGATTGACTTTCTGGATGTGTGAATTGAATGCATCTCTTAACTTTTGGTACTCGATCAAGAGATACTCCTATTTGTGCAAAAACATTGTCTTCCTGAGCATCATCCTCAGATGAAGTGCTCTCTCTGGTGGCTGGTTGTCTCAATTCAGTTTCTGTCACCTTAATGGATTTTACTGTGCTTGAAGGAGGAAATGATGACAGATCTAAGGAATTCTGTCCAGCTTGTGTGAACTTAATGTACCTCTTTATTTTCGGGATTTCAGCAAGGTATTCACTTGTTTCTTCAATAATATAATCTTTGTTAGTAGATGGTTTAACATCATCTTCAGATGAAGTGCTGCTTCTCCTTGTTTTTTTAGCTACCGCTGACATGTTTGCTCTTTCAGCTGAGAGAGCAGTTGTTTGAGCAGGGAATTGACTTTCAGGATGTGTGAATTCAATGTATCTCTTAACTCTTGGAACTCTGTCAAGAGATGCTCCTATTTGCCCCAAGCCATTGTCTTCCTGAAAATCATCCTCAGATGAAGTGCTTTCTCTATATTCTGTTTCTGTCACCGTTGTGGATTTTACTGTGTTTGGAGGAAATGGTGACAGATCTGAGGAATAAGGTTCGGACTGTGTGAACTTAATGTACCTCTTTACTTTGGGGAAACAGGTGAATACCTTGCCGAAATCCCCAATGATATTATCTTCTTTAGTAGATGGTTTAACATCTTCCTCAGATGGAGTGCTCCATCTCCTTGTTTCTTTAGCTACCACAGATACGTTGACTCTTTCAGATAAAAGACCAGTTGTTGTCTGCACAGGAGATTGACTTTCAGGATGTGTGAATTGAATGTATCTCTTAACTCTTGGCACTCTATCAAGAGATGCTCCTGTTTGTCCAAAGACATTTTCTTCCTCAGCAGTTAGTTTGACATCATCCTCCGAAAAAGTGCTTGCTTCTGATTTGGTTTTCACCTCAGGTGTGACATGCAGTGTATCTGAAGTGGTATCTGAACAAGGATCAAACTGTTTAAATGTGATGTATCCTTTTACTTTTGAAACTCCATCAAAAGATGCACCTATTTTCCTGAATAAATTGTCTTCGTTGGTTGTCGGTTGAACATCATCTTTTGAGGATGAGCTATATCTCCCTGTTTCCATTATAGCATCTTTCTTGGTTAAAGAATGTGATGGCAGAGTTGGGGAATGAGGTTCAGACTGCTTGAATTGAATGTATCTTTTCACTTTTTTAATATTTTCAGGAGATTCCTCTATTTGCATTAAGTAACTCAGGTCTCCAGAGGATCTGTCAATTTTAGCTTCAGTTTTCAATTCTATCTTAGGTGTAACTTTTGTAGAGGAGGATGAAACTGATGACGGAGTTGGAGAACGTGGTTTGGACTGTGTAAATTGAACATACCGCTTAACTTTTGGTACTGCATTAAAACCTAATTGCCCCCCAAAAAATGTTTCTGTAGCATTAGATTTGTCAGATGTGCTTGAACTTGTCTCTGCTGCCACCACAGGATTCTTGGTTGAAACCGGTAAGGATGTTAGAGTTGAAGAGTAAGGTTTAGGCTGACTGAATTGAATGTATCTCTTAACATGTGGCACTGTATCGAGAGAAACGCCTATCTTTCTCAAGAAATTGTCTTCATTAGATGTAGGTTTGATATCATCTTCAGAAGACGTACTTTGCCTCCTTGATTCAGGTTTTGCCACTTGTTCAGTTGAGATAGTTTGTTTGTTCAAGGGCAGTGTTTTCGAGTAAGGTTCAGTGTGTGAGAATTGTATGTATCTTTTTACTTTTGGAAGTCCTTCATAAGATTCATCCACTTGTCCAACAATGTTTTTATCTCCAATGGTTTGTTTGACATCATCTTCAGATGAGAAACTGGATCTCCTGGACTCAGTTGTCGCTATAAAGTCAGGTGTGACTACCCCAGTGGTTGGTGGTGAAGATGGTAATTGGACTTGAAGATAGGAATCAGAGTGCGAGAACTGAAGGTATCGCTTCACTTTTGGTAAGTGATCAAGGGATAAACTCCTTCCGAATAGACTGTCTTCATTAGTGGTTTGTTCCTTAGTTAACTTTGTCTGCTTGTTAATAGAGACACCACTAGTTCTTCCAACATCCCAACCAGTTGGTGACCTCCTTTCATCCTTTTCATTTTCTTGTCTGTTGAACAGTCGTGCACTTAATGCTCTTAGTCTCATTAGACCTTTAGAATGTTTCTTCTCAAATACATCTGTGCTGCTAGAGGAGTTATCAAAGTCAATGTTGAGGCCTTTGTCTGTATTTTTATCTGGTGTGATGGATCCTCTGTTTATCTCAGGTGGTATTGTAATCTCTAATTTTCTTGGGTACTCCATAAATTTATCTTCATCTTCACTGGAAATTGATCTATCAGTATCATAGCCCCTATTCAGTCTGTTTATACTTGATCTATAAACAGGATGGACATGGTATAGTGGAAGGCTCTCATGACTCCCGTAGTATGATTGATCATATCGTTTTTTGTATTTAGTTTTTTTCCCTGATAAACCTTTCCTGCTTGAGGTAGGTGATGATGGCAGAGATGAAGAATGGTGTTCATGCTGCTTAAAATACATATATTTCTTCATGTTTTGACTTGAATCTTTTGGTGAGGTGCTGAGCTGCATAGATTGTACTGTTGCCTCAGTTGTGCTCTTAATATTAGTTGAAGGTCTGGATATTGACAGAGTTGGGGAAGAAGAGTCAAACTGTTTAAATGAAATGTATCTTTTTACTTTTGAAACTTCATCAGAAGATACACCCATTGTCCTGAAGAAATTGTCATCCTTAGTTGTCAGTTGAGCATCATCTTCTGAGGATGAACTACAACTTTTAGCTTCCATCATAGCATCTTTTTCGGTTAAGGAAGGTGATGATGGCAGAGTTGGGGAATGAGGTTCAGGCTGTTTGAAGTGAATGTATCTCTTCACTTTTTGAATTGTATCAGGAGACACCTTTATTTGACTTAAGCTTCTGTTATCTCCAGAGGATGCATCAATGTTCGCTTCAGATTTTACCTCCTTCTCCGATAATGATGGCAGAGTTGGGCGTCCAAAATGAGGTTTGGACTGTTTAAATTCAACATATCTCTTAACCTTTGGCACTGTAACTGGACCCACATCTAAAGATATTGCAAATTTGTCTGATTTGTTTACATACTCATAATTCCCCTGTGAATCATCAATAGGCATACCCTCATTGACACTGTCTCCGTGAGTAAAAGTCAAATGTATGTCCGAAGGCTCCAAAGTGATAGTCTCTTGTCTTATTAGAATGCCAGCACTAGGCATTCTTTCATTAAATGTGACATCCTCAAGAGTGCCAAATCTGTTTAAAGTGTCCAAGTTTGCACCGTTCTCTGTGTCTGATTCATCCATGATTTTTGATTCTTCTAACTCTTTGTTTACAATATAATTGTTTGGTCCACCTACACTTTCATCACTGTCACTTGAATTAGAGAGGCTTTCTATGTCAGAGAGCTCAAACTGCTTTTCATCATCAACAAGAACTTCTTTACCAAATGGTTTGTCAAGATCAAAAACCTCTGAATCAAATTCTATTTTGTCTGAAGGTGATTCTACTTTGCCTTGCCTCCATGTGTCATCGTCCTTCAATGGGTGTCCCACAGCAGAGCTGGAGAGGTCCCGGATACTTGATCTTTCAGAGCCTTCAGTGAAAGAAAAGCTCTCTCCACTGTCATTCCACAACTCTGGGTCCAAATCGTCAACATTCTGTTCTGTCAGCCTTGATGACAATTCTGAAAATGGCTCTTTAGTAAATCCTGGAATTCTGTTGTTTGTATTTTTGTTTGCAGGTATAGTGACAGGAGGAGGGTCAACACTTGATTCCATTAATTCTCTTGAAAAGTTATCTTCCTGACTTGAGTGAGATGATGCTGAAGAACTGCCCCTTCTTTTTAACTTGATGATATCATTTGCTTCTGGAATTGGCTCAAATTCCATGGATTTTGTCATGTCTTCGGTTGCGATGGGTAGCAGTTTCTTACCATTTATGACTAAAGCATTTACTTCGCCTTCCTGAAGTGAGCTGCTACTACTACTCTCTGCTCTTCCTCTATGATTCTCCACATCAAAGGCCTGCTGTTTTCCACCAGTTATTGATGATTTATTTTTTTCAATTTCCTCATAAAGAGTAACCGCTTCTGTGTTGCTCTCAGAGGAGCCGTCTGCTTGGTCATCCTCTACAGTGACATAGTAAGGCACTCGATCTTCAACTGTGATTCCACCAAATGTAACTCTTGAACCCACTCTCACTTCTTGTTCTTGGTCTTCTACATCAGAGTACCCCTCATTCACATATGGCTGGGGTTCAGTTGAGGAGATTGTTGGTGGCGGTGAAGATTGTCTCTTGGATCGTATTCTCCTCCATAACTTGTCTAACAGTGGTCTCAAAACAACACCAAGGATAAAGGCTAAAATGAATGTAATAATGACGGACAGGCAGACAGCAAGAACAAATTCTGACTGGGTTCTTGTCCCTTGCCGTATAACTGGATCATTTCTTGGAAAGTTAAAATTGTCTTGCTCATCCAAGATAATTGCTGCTTCCCTACGTGGTCTTGAGCCACTTTGTTTTTTGTAGACCTGTAGATCAAATACTGATATGTGCTCCCCTCGGACACCTGAAATACATATATAAAGTCCTGCATGCTGCTCTGTGATGTCCTTAATTAGTAGTTCTGGTTGGTTATTTGTGACTTGGCCCTGTGGAGTCCACCAATGAACCTGCATGATATCTAGAATAAAAAGTGAATTTATCACTAAAGGTAGATTAACATTTACATCGTTTACATGCAGGTTTTAGGAGTTACTTAAATAACTGTAAAAAAATATATATTTAAAAATTATGAATTAAAATGGTAAATTGGACTGTGGTTTTATAATTTAAAATACAGAAGTAGCACCTTTACTGTCATTGCTGCAAGGAATTGATATCTTCATCCCCTCGTAGACAATCATGTTATGATGGTGACCAGATGTGCTGTATTCATGTGTTGGACAAGTGAGCTCTGAGTCCTTCAGGTGAAGCAGATCTTTTCCAGAATGATGTGGTGGAGAGGCACACACCACTTGCCAGGAAACATTACCCATTTCATGATCAAAGCTTAACCATCTTTTCAAGGTCTGCAAGTTGCAGTCACACTTCCATCTGTTGAAGGAGACATCGACCAAGGCATTCAGGTACCACAGGGACTGGTAGGCAGGGACAGGAATGGTGACCAGCAGATTATAGCTCAGATCAAGGACCTGGATGGAATTAGTGAGTCAATGAACATGTTTCCCAAGTTTTAATGCACACTGGGCTAAATATGTTGATCGACTTTTTAATTACAGTCTGTCAAAAGAGTGGAGCTGGTGGAGCATACTCCCAAACATGTAAAATCACTCTTATGCTGAGTTTTCGCTAGGATAAAAAAACAAAAAACTAAACCATCTGACCAGTATTAACCCTCTGGGGTACTTCATTTTAGACTCACACTCAGGACCTTCGGGTCCAAAATGACCCGGAGGGCGGCATTAAGATACATTTTATTTGAGTAAAATCTATGAAATATATTTTTGTTCAATAATATTTTTTCTTTTCTTTTTTGGTGTTTTTAGATAATTTTATGATTTATAATTAATATTTATGCAATAATTAAGACCCATTTTTTCCCATTGAATGTAATAGAAAATGTATATATATATATTATTAAAAAAAAAAAATGTATTAAAGCTGTATTTCATTTTAGAGTCAAGTCTAGGCCTCATGAAAGCAATTTTTGAAATGAGATCGGAGCCATCTGGTGGACACACTGAGCATTTTTATCACGCAATAGCACATTTTTACCACTAGTGGATTTACAGCTCTCTGTAGAAACCAATGGTAGAAACACTTTAGTGATTTTTTCACATATTGTTTAATTTTTTTCAGGTTGTTGATTTGAATATATAAAAAAAATTGTAATTTATATTTTTGTAATTTTTTTAAATTTAAAAAAAATATTTTTTTTTTGGTTGGTTTAAATGATAATTTGAAGTGGCAGTTTTACTTTATAATACAGTCAAACCTGAACATTGCATTATAAAGAGAACAAATGGAAAAAAAATTGTCACCCATTGTTTTAAAAGATTCACCCCTTCACTGTTGTGTTCTTTTTTTCTGCATCCTGGCTGTTTTGTAGATTGTATGCACAAAAAAACTCTGTATTTTCAAATTTTTGCCAATTTCCCATTCATTTCCTATGGGGGTCATTTTTGACCCGAAGGTCCTGAGTGTGACTTTTTTTTTTACGACCACTTAGACTTTTCAAATCCTGTCCCCAATTATTTTGGGTGTTCATATACCAAGTACCAAAAAAGTCACCAAGTTTCGGACCATTCCGATGAAGCTACAATTTTTTACATTTTTAAAAAAAAACACTTCCCAGAGTACCCCAGAGGGTTAAAATATTACACAAATAAGCTAAATATTGGAGATGTTACCTGCAGCTGTTTTAGGTCTATAAAAGCATTTGGGTGAATGCTTGTGATGCTGTTATGCTGGAGATGTAGCTCTTTCAGATAACTGCAGTTGTCCAGGTCAGTAAGACCTATCTTAGATATCTGGTTATAAGACAGCTGAAGAATCTGCAGGGACTTCATGCAGCCCAGCCCTGGAGGAGAAATGGTTTAGAGCAAAAGGCAATGATTAACAACCATGCACTGATAAACTTTTTAGTTAAATATAAATGTGTTCTTTGAGGTACAGAGTTTTATTAGATTGCAAAGTCAGACATTTTTCAGTTGTTTTGAGTTATACAAGCCAAATATTGTTGTAATAGTTGTAAAAAAATGTTTCAGCTGGCCATGACCCCACAAACATAAGCATATGTTTGTGCCAATATCTGTCCATAACAACACCTAACATAGTACTGCACACCCAGAGGTGTAGTGGTAAAAAAAGAGGTGGGTAAACTATAAATTCTGGTGGACCACGACGTGGTCACCCGGTAAGGTGGGCCACTGCCTACCGGTGTATGTGTATCTCCTGATGACATTGCTATATAGGGAGGGCTCGACATTAAGCCTTTTCATACGCTTAATCTGTCATTCACTTGTCCGAGTAAAAAAGTTTCTCGTCCGGATTTTTTATTATTATTTTTTTTAATTCTGAAACAATATTCTCATCAGTGTTCAATCACCTTTGATATTTAAATCGGCATATTATAATATCTGCACCTTTAAAGGGCATCCCCTCCCCCAATCTTATTAAATGTATGCTTCATCTTTCATTTTAAATTCCTAAATTTGATCAATAAATTCAATTATTTCGAATAATAAGACACTATAGGGCTGATCAAATTAAATCATTTACACTGAAAAATTCCAATTGCATAAAATAATGTTATGAAATTGATTTAAATTTACAAATAAGAAACGTTGGACAGAATGATCTACTTTTAAACATAACACGAAACCGCCAGTAGGTGGCGGCAGGCGACCGTCTTAATGAGTGAGTCATTGATTCATTCATTCAAACGATTTGTTCAAACGGCTGATTCATTCAAGAATGAGACTGATGTTTATGAATGGGTCATTGAATCTTTGACTCAATCGATTCCTTCAAAATGCTGAATCATTCAGTAGGCCTAATGAAAACAGGTCGAGTGTTCCTGTGAGATGCGCCGTGGTTCTGCTGTGATTTTTGTTTGGAACTATTTTCGCTGCTGAAACAGAACAAAAACAGCCAATATTGCATCTAAAATGTAAGTGACTTAATTTTAACTGTTTATTGAACTGGTGTAGGAAATCAATGTCACATTTTCAATCGTGATGGTGTTCAGGAAAAATAATTGAGGTTGCTTAACATATGTAAAAAATATAAAAACTCCACATTTAGATTTTTTATAGGCAGTAATGTTGTTAACTGAGTGTGTGTGTGTGCGCTCATTTGTGTAGATTTCTCCCCGAGAGGCTGCGCGAGCGTCAACAGCGCAACCTCACCGTCAGTAAAAGTCAACAACACTGACAGTAACGTTAATGCAGCGCAATATGAAAGACTTCGTCTTAGGTTTAACAACCTATGAAACTAGTAATGAACAATATGAAACTAAAACGACATAAGCTTAATTTATAGCTATTTAGAGGAGGATAAACGCAATTTAGAGGTGGATAAACGCACTTTGGAGGTGGGTAAACGCTATTTCCGAATATTGGGAGGTGCGTAAACGGCGTTTACGTGCGTTTAGCCTCCACTACATCCCTGTGCACACCACGTGAGCACTATATGAATAACCACTTGTTCTAGTTGAGGCTCTTGCAGCAACACTTCTTCAGGACGTCACCATCAAGTTGTTGGTAATAGTATGCAAATTATTAGTTAATAGTATTTGCATCTTTGTGGCTAATTTTGTTGTCTTAATATTTATACCTAAAGCTCTTTAAATTATTTAGATGTACAGTATGTGAAACAAGTACATCCCAAATATTCTGAAACATGTCAAGAATTGAGTTACAAGGGTTCAGGTATGTCTGTCAGAGAAGAGAAATGGAGAATTATCTTGTCTATTTTAAGAACCGTATTTGACTGCTGAGCTGAAGCGAGGGTCTGTTGAACAAGTTTATCAGAGAGAAACAGGGCTGTGCCCTGAATCACAAAGAGGTGAAAAACATTGAGACACCACCATCTAATTCACAGTGCTGCTGCTTACAGGCTTCCCAGATTGGCATCTGCTAAGGCAACCATTTAAAACCTGATTCTTGGTCTTTGTTACCAAGTCCATTTAGATTTCAAACAAACGAGAAGTTTCAAAGCAGACACAGAAGCATTAAAACCTTGCTGAAATTGCTGTAGTGGCTATCAACACTGACAATCACATCCTGGAACAGCATTTCAGAAATTAAATGAAAAAAAAAATATTAACCTATTCCCTTAGAATAGCACTGGATACAAAATTTATGACAAACCTCAAGCGACCATATTCAAAACGAGTTTGAATTGGCTTTCTGGTCCCTAATTTAATATAAACGTTATCTAAGATCCCCAGTTAAATGTCCTATGCTTTAGACATTTTAACAAAATCTATTGATTAAATATACTACAGCAGGAAAGCTATAGCAAATTATAGTTGTGTTCCAAATTATATACTATACATTATTTACGCTACCGCCTAGTTTATACATTTTACATGATTATTTTGCCATCCAGCACGGGCCTGATAGCCCCTACGTAAGGAAAGCTGCGACAGTTGAGTGCATGAAGTGTTCAACCTTGGCCCTGTCCCAAATGGCACCCTAAACACTCATAGTATTCCTACGAGTCCACGCTTTCTTGACATAATGCCACTTTGACTGTCGGGAAGAAGTCTGCTAGGGGGGCATTTGCGAGCACCCTTCTGAAACCTAAAATGACAAATCGGACACTCAACGATCTCATGGACTTAACAGACACGCAGCCATTGTAAGTCCACAAGACTGTAACGGTGCGTTCACACCGCCGACGAGAACGGCAAAATTCGCTCTCCCCGCCTGCCTACGATGCCGTAGAAAGATTCGTGGATGCTTGACGTAGATCAAATGCTTGTTCTTTTTTAAAACTTTTTTTAAAGGGGCCGCAAAGCAAACAAGCATTTTGATCGTTATTTGTGCAGACTGACAAAGTATAAGTTAACCTCATGGAATATTTTAAATGTGAAAGTAAGAAATTGATCGATGGAAAGAACTTAATTATAGTGACATGTTTGCTAACGAAATAAACCAATTTGTGTAATGTGGCTTTTGTGTTCATGGTTAAGTGCTAATCTAATTTGCATTCCCGCTGAAAAACAAGTGTTCTTGCGCGAAAATGTAGTCTATAAATAGTGTTGCGTGCCTTCTTATCAAATTCACATGATCAACCTCTCCTCTATTTTGCTTGGGAACTATGTGGTCGGAACCAAAGTTTACTTGACTGCGTTCTCTGGAATCCTCTCAAGCGGAGGACTTCTAAATTCTGATTGGTTTCCGCCAAACCGTGTCATAGCTCATTACCATAAAGTTGACCTGACTTCAACTCTCCTAGCTGCTCTCACCCAAGGGGGTAATCCATCTGCCGGAAACTGAAGCCTCCCGGGGGCCGCCATTGTAGCAGACTATCACCTGCTGTTAGCATTCCATTGACTCCCATTCACTTTGGCGTCATTTTAACAGCGAATAACTTTGTCCAAAACTGCGTCCAAAGACTCCATTTATCCATTATTTGTTTCTAAAGAAACACGACAATGTATAAAAGGCTCCATTACCTTGTATCTTACGTTATGGCCCCGTAGAAGCAGTTTTTGTAAAAATAGGCTAACGATTACGTCATAAGGAATCGACTCTCTGTCGCACAGTAGAGAAATTACCGTATAGACAGGAGGAGAAGCTCTCAGGCAATCGGGGGGACGAGGAGGCATAAAGTGCGATAAAGTCATGGGAGAAGCCCATAGAGAGTCATAAAGTTGATCCTACTGCTAGCTCATGGACAGCTAATACTCTCTCCGTCTCTGTGAGATTCGGAAGGGAATTATTCAGATTTCACTCGGCACAGCTACTAGAAGATATACAGGTTGCTCACGTTACAGGTTGCTCAGTTTGAGCCTGCGCAGTACGCCTGGCTATCAGCTTTTAACGGGCTTCAATATTCTCAGTTGAAATCAATTGGGTCGCTGTGTCCATTTATTTTACTGTCTATACTCTCACCGTCCAAGACGCGCCGCCCTCACCGGAGCTCGCCGCCGGCTCATTGAAAATGAATGACTTCCGGCCACTTTGACGCTCCCGCCGGTGGCGGTGTGAACGCACAGTAAGTGCATATGAAGTGTGCCATTTGGGACAGGGCCATACTTTATTTTTCGGTTAATTACATTATACATGTATTTGAAGTACACTTTTCTTTGTGAATACACTACTCATGCTATGCCATTTTGAAGTGTACATAGTGTAAGTACCCAAAGGCTTTAAGACACCTTTGGACAGACTAGAACCCCATGTTAGAGTTAATGTGAAGGTTGGTCAAAAGGTTGGCCCTAATAAAATTCACTCTCTGGAATGTTTAGACCATTATTACTCTTTTACAGCCCGTTATGAGGCACTGGAATGCCAGCGCCCAACCCTTGTGACTAGATGATAGGTGATTTCTTTTCACTTCATCCCGAGGGTGGACTGGTTTAAATGGAATCTAACAGGTCAGAAGAATGTGTAATCGCAACAGATCAAAGTTCCACTGATGATGCAGTCATTTACACCTGGGGGAGAGTGTGTGGGCTTTATGAATGTCACAGATTAAATAGTACAGAGATCCAATTGTTTAAGAATTAGTTTCAATGTTTGTAGTAGTTCTAATTATTTAATAATTAAAACTGAATAAATGAATGATTCCTTAACAGCAAGGATTTAAATGGTATGATTCATTTTAGAATTTGTTTTATTGTTTCCATCCACCCATCACATGAATTAACACTAAGGATGGGAATGTCATCATTATAGTAATGTGACCAATTAAGTTGCCTTGATTTCCTTTATAATTTAAATATGCTTTTCAGGACAACAAAGAGCAGAGATGTATTTTACAGTATACATTACTAATGCTGTGTGTATCATATTCATACTCCTGCTGCATGCACGTACCCTTTGGTAGATGTTTTAGATGGTTTCTTTCTGCAGACAGCAACTGAAGGTCAGATGCCCAGGATGTGCATTCCTGTTCTCCACTTGACAGGGTCCTAGTGCCTGACCAGTCTTTCTTCAAAATCAAAGACAGGCTCTCCAGAGCATTACTTCCCACCCAAAGGTGCAGAAGTCCCATCAATTTCACTTGACCAAAGCTGAGAGGAGCCAGAGAACGCAGGGCATTATTGGATAGGTTCAAGGAAACCGCAGTTGCTGGGATGCGTGTGGGAGTCGTAGTCAGGCCTAAAGAAGAGCAGTTCACAAGAGGACCTTGCTGGCACAGGCAGGCAACAGGACAGGCAGAGGTGGGGAAGGAGTGTGTCCCCCAGAGGTGGAGAAGCAGCACTGCCACACCAAGCACTGACCTGTATGCTGACATTATAGTCAGCCCTGAAAAATATAAACACAACAAATGAAGGATCTAAAATAATGACAGGAAATGGCATACTCACATTTGTATGGTACAATATAGAGAGACAAACAACAACAAAAAGATATAGGATGAAAGCTGAAAAAAAGATCCCTCATGAAATCCATTGCTGCACCACAGAATCGATAAAATAAATGATATGTACACACACACGTATAAATATATATATATACACACACACAGTTCAAGTCTAAATTATTAAACACCAATTGTTTACTTGCCTAAGCTTAAGGTAAAATTCAAGTAAAACTTTTACACAAATCATAGATACACTGTATGAAATATATATATATATATATATATATATATACACACACAGTTCAAGCCTAAATTATTAAACACCAATCGTTTACTTGCCTAAGCTTAAGGTAAAATTAAAGTAAAACTTTTACACAAATCATAGATACACTGTATGAAAAATTGTGTAGTAGGTTTGTTTAAAACTAACCTTTTTAGGGTATCGATGCTCCACTTGGCTCGGACAATCTGACTGTAGCCGGATAATTACCAACAAAACACTGAGACTTGACTGAGAAATTCTTTGACTTTAACTCCAACTTCCCTGAGATCAAAGTCTGAATAGCATTATGGCACCAGAAACACACAGAACAATCGTTCTGCAATCACTCACTTGCCTGAGTTAATATCTTACTCAGGTTCGTTTCCTCCCAAGCATTTTAAGGACATTCAAAAAATCAAACAAATAAAATATAACAAAAGCTATAAAAAGATTTCCTATTTAATAAATAAGAATAAACAGGTGTTTTACATAAATATGTATATGGATTGATATTTTAGTGAATTTATTTTCCACCAGATCATTAACCAAAATTAATAATTGAAAAGTAAATTAATCCCTTAACTCAGTCGCTGTATGATATAACCATACTTAATATTTGTTAGCACTGAGATTGTTCATGTAACAGTACAAACAATCACAATAGACATCTCGTTTTCAATCAAAACCTCCTTTTGCATTTATTAACAAAAACATTGCAGTGTGAAAGCATTGATTTTCCCTATCAGAATATTTGTGATTCTATCTAAAACCACAGACATGATCAGATGGTTTCAGACTAATTCATTGCAGGGTTGAAAAGAAAGTCTGACATCTGACAATTAGTCTCTTAAGCACAGAGGATTTTTAGCTTGGAAATCACAATAATACTGTATTCAAAAACAACAATAAATACCACACATGTACCCCGAAAAACCAGGCCAAGAAGGTTATATTGCACAAAATATCACACTTGGATAACTCAAATATATATCATAGAAGTTTCCTGTTTTTATCTTATCAAAAGATATTAGATGGTACACACCTATGAACATGTCATTAGGCGACAAGTCATTTGTCATTAGTCCATGGCACTCTAAGAAGGGCACTATAATACAAAACCTTGAAAATATGTGCCAGAATTGATGCATCACTAACCACTGTTTCAGGATCAGGCTTAAAGTGTTACTTACATAAGATGTTGCTGAGATTGTTACAAAGAAATGAAAAGGAAAAAAGTTTGTTTGCGCAATAAAAGTTATTACTTTATCCAACAATTTCTTTTCTTCCGTGTGAGTCTCCGCGCTGTTCACGTGAGCACCACGACACATGCGTGTGATCCTGACGCAGGACCCCGCCAACACTGAGCCGGCGTTCCGATGTAGAACCTGGAAGCGCTGCACAGTGTTTACAATGTGAACAGCGTCAGAGACTGACATGGAAGAGAAGAAATTGTTGAATAAAGTCCTTATTTTTTTTATTTTTTTTTGGCGCACTAAAAGTATTCTCGTCGCTTCATAACATTAAGGTTGAATCACTGTAGTCACATGGACTATTTTAACGATGTCTTTACTACCTTTCTGGGCCTTAAAGTGGTAATAACGTTGCATTCTACGGGGGCTCGGAAAGCTCTCGGATTTCATCAAAAAGATCTTAATTTGTGTCCCGAAGATGAACAGGTTTGAAATTACATGAGGGTAAGTAATTAATGACATCATTTTCATTTTTGGGTGAACTAACCCTTTAAATAATATTGGCCACTTTAAATCCCCTCTTCTAAAGCCAAAATGACCATGTAGAAATAGTCTTTCAGACTAAACAATACAGAGGGTTTATGACACTATTTTAACATTTGTATCAGTCAAACAACATCCCTCTTTTTATGTGGCCATTTGATGATTATTAATGACCGGAGGGGATTGTAAAAGAGTGTAATAATACTGCTCAGAAAATCACTGGACTCAAATTACTCTGCTATGATACAATATATAAAGCAAATGCAGTGAAGGTTGAAAGTAGGCAGCTTAAAGACTGTAAATCACTGAGGTAAGCCAATGATAATGCACGGGGAGCTCTCGGCCATAAAAGAAAACGGTACTGTTTGTGCTCGGACGGATTTATGGTTGTAGGGAGCGATTATCATCATAGAGGTATGTGTGTGAGTGTGTGTTCTTAGACCTCCAATAAAGTTGAGTGGGCATGTAGTAGAAACTGTCCTGGTGGGTGGGAGTGTGAGGGCGGATTGTGTGCATTTTTTGTATATTGCATGTGTAAACTAATATTATAAGCTAATTATTGTCCAGTAAAAAAAAAAAAAAAAAACCCACATTATCATCTATACATCTTTTGGGAGTTCACCCGAAATGTCATGTTTCATTTGAAAACGTTGATGAGCATGTGTATTCCAGTGGTATTCATCTCACTTTTTTCAGTGTGCTGCTCCACAGGGATTGTCGGACGTCTGGCAGCCCATGTTGGGGTATTTGACCTGCACTCTGAACAGTGTCCCATCTGCACACATGCAAAGTTTATACCTCTCCAACCCCTCATTGAAGTACAAGTCTCCCCCCAGAGAGGAGTTTGGTATACGTGAAGGACTGAACATCACTGAACCATTTAGAATAATGCTGTTTTCCTGCAAACAAAACAGAAAAAAACATACTCATACTTGTATGTTCTGATTAATTTACGACACTTTTCAAAAGTTTGGGGTCAGTAAGCAGCTCAACTGTTTTCAACATTGATAATAATAAGAAATGTTTCTTGAGCACCAAATCAGCATTAGAATGATTACTGAAGGATCATGTGACACTGAAGAAGTAATGATGCTGAAAACTCGAACTTTGCCATCACAGGAATAAATTACATTTTAAAATATATTAAAATAGACAAGTTATTTTCAATTGTAATGACATTTTACAATATTTACCGCTTTCAGCTCGATGTCCCCACCCATGCTGAACTCCACAGTTTTGCCCATGATGTAAACTCCCTCGTTGCCACGAATAATGGCCTTACCGTCTCCTTTGATAGTGAGGTCAGATGATGCATTGCTGGTGATCTGCAAAGTATGGCACTGAGTCACTGTACAAACACACCTCTAAGACGATCATAAATCTCATATCAAGGCTTTAAGATTTGTCCTGTGTCGTATGCAGTGTGATTAGGTACATCTATTTGTTTCAAATGAACTCACTTATTCAGGTTTCATAAGCCTATGAGTCAGGACTATGAGTACAGTTGCTTACTCTCTCAGTAGAAGCTTTCTTCACATTTAGAATCTTGACCTCTTTGGGCAGGTGGAACTCATGGTTGTCAAAATCAGTGCTAAAGAACGTCGTCTGAGTGCGGGGGTCAGTGAAGGAGATGCCCAAGTCGCTGACGATAGACGTTTTATCTTCCTCCACGCTCAGCTTAGTGTTGCCTTGCTGGAACACCACCTGTAACACGCAGAAAACCCCTAAATTAATACACATTCTCATATAATCACTCAGAGGATACAGATTTGCAAGAGAAAGTCAGATACTATGCTGACTGACTGGGTTATTGTTGCCAGTAATGACGAGGTCCTGGTCCTTCCTGCCGCCCACTGTGCTCTTGTGCAGCGGGTGAACCACACCCATATCGGCCTTCTGTTTGAAGCGTAGCAGGCCGCTCTCGTGAAACTCCATACTTTCACAACCTCCCGGACCTATCCGTATAACTGTCCATATCACTAGAGTTATCTATAAAAGACAGACAGTGATAATGTATGAGTGTCTCTCTTTATTCAAGTGAGTAGTAGAGATGTAACTGAAGTGACTGAAATGGTTTTGAAAGAAGTCACATGAAAGAAGTCCATGAGTGACTCACATACTCACAAGGCCGCATTTATTCAAAACTGAGAATTTTTAGATTGTGGAATATTATTACAATTTTAAATAACTTTTAAATGGGATGACGAAGCTGAATTTTCAGAATCATTACTCCAGTCTTCAGTATTTTTAGAGTGCAGACCTTTTTTTGCATTTTTTATCATCAATGTTGAAAACAGTTATGCTGCTTAACATTTTTGTGGAAACTGACACATTTCTCCCTGGATTCTTTGATGAATAGAAAGTTCAAAACAGCCTTTATTTGAAATGTAAATTTTGTAACATCATAAATGTCTTTACTGTCACTTTTGATCAATTTATTGCATCCTTGCTAAAAAAAACAATTAGATGCTAGTTTTTAAGTATATCCTATCATATTAATAATATCACAGGCACAACAAACAACCGATAAACTCACAATGAGATTAATGAGCGCAAGCAGAAAGAGTAGGATGACTATGCCAATGGCAATAATGCCCTTGCGACCCCTCAGTCCTGTCTTGTGGAGTCGCTCCTCTTCAATTGGAACATATCCGGCCTTAAAATTACTGTTGTGCTCTTTATTAGCTGATCTGCGCTCGATAGCCTTCTCCCTCATAGATTTCTTCACTGGGGCATTTGAGATTTCCTGTGGATATAAGGAAAAAAAGGATGACTAGAAGTTACAATTATTGTATGTTACTGCACATTTAATAGACAATCCATTACTGCTACAAGTGGCCTGCCATTAAATTTCACATCAACAAGAACCCCTTCAATATTCAGCTTTACTTACATAGATTGCAAACAAGATATTTTCTAGGGTTCTGCTGTCAGTGCTGATGAGTTTAGGTGTAAACATTTTTATAGAAGAACCAAAAATACTTAAGCCTCATTAAAAATGTATCTAATGCATCTAAAAAAACTTTTCCAATTACTTTCAAACAACTGGTTAAGACTCATTTTTAGTGGATTCGAGTTCGCACAGGTGTCCTAGCAGAATAGTCAATTGTGTAGTTCATCATACTATATTAACATGTTGTTCACTAATGTTTGACAGCCACAAAGCATCAAAATGCTTTTTCATCTTAATTTGAACATTATACCTATTACATAACACTATACATCTTATTCTTTTATATAATAACATTATATCTATTTTTGTCATTTTAAATCTAACAAATGTATTTTTTGTTATTAAACTATCTTTTTTTAAATACATACAATTTCAGTTTAATATTTTATTATTTAGTTATATAATTATGCAATGCAATGTTATTTTAAGCATGTCTTTAAATGCCGAAATACCACTGTATAATATAGTGTAATATTTAAGCATATATTTCAATCTTCCCTTTTTAACTATTTAGGATACATTATTTTGAATAGCGCACTAAATAATGACAACTGATTTCAAATTTATGTGAGTTACTTATGTGGTGGTCTGATTTGGGAATATGCAAATAATTACATCCTACATTGAATAATACTGAACTGAAGAGATGAAGTGGCATATTTCTGCAATATTTCAACCATGTATCTTCTTTTAGAATGAATTAACAATAAACACTTTTATGCTATTACAGCGTGATAGCTAAATAAGAAACCAGTGTTGCAGTCTCAGGAATGCAGTATATGAGTTCGTCTGTCTACATGCCTAAAAATAAATGACACGCAACCCTCGGTAATAAATTAGAGCGTATGTATTTAGACAGAAAAGGGTTTTATTTTAAAGCTCCAAAGTATCATCATTCGGTATAACAAGAGCAAACTTAGAAGCAAATGTAACCCTGCAATAATGAGTATTTTTTTCCATAAAAGATCCGGACATAAATTGCGCATATGATCGTTAGCCATTCACATACATCGCTATTGACATCGTGTGAGGTTTGAAGTTAATATACACGACTCGTGTAAGCCCCGAAAATCGCTTGAAAAGCATCACAACGGAGAAAACATTTACATTTCACATTGAAAACAGACCTGCTCCGACGCCATGTTGACCCTCCCTCTCTGAACACACAGACTGCACTGACAGCTTCACACAGCCTGAGGAGAAACCACTGCGAGAGAACCGTTATCCAAAAAATAAACACAAATAGCCAAACTTTCACGTGGACTATACACTTCAAACATGTCTATCCTAAAAAAAGTAATTCCAGAAATACAGACCAAGTTTAAAGAGGGAATGACTTACTTTTAAGGGAGTACGAACTGATATGTTAGATGGTTTGTTCCTCCGCTATAAAGAGCCAGTTGTGAATCCCAGACTCGCCGTATAAGGAAAGTAGCTACAAATAAGGACATTTCCCCCCGTTCAATGTTAACGCTAGAGAGAACCTGTTATTATAACTTGTCTATTATGTTTTTACTTTTATTTCTTTTTCCAACCCCTCTTTCCCAGTTATAAAATATTAACATAAAAAATACAGTAAACATTTTAATGCGAAAATTATAACCTAAATATTTTAAAAGACAATAGGGTGAATGCATGTAAAGTGGGCCACTCTTTGTTAAACGTGTAAATTTAGATAGGCTACATAGAGGTTTTTTTCTTTTCTTTATTACTCTTGTTAACTATGAGGTCCAGCTATAATATTTCAATTTGAATACAGTTGATATAATGTGTTATTTGCAAGATATATACAAATAAACATTTTGAGATCATGCACTCCAGACAAAATTATTTTCAGGTAATGTGAGCCATCCCTGACTGAAATTTTATGAAATCTGAATATCAGAATATTCGGAAATCAGAACTCTACAACAATTAAAAACACGTGCAACAACAAATAGGCAAAATTTGAATAAGACACAAACTGAATATGAGTAACATTTAAAATGGTATTGTACAATTTTTTTTCTGCATATGTTTTCTTATGAAGTTGAATTTATATTGTGTCCGTATTTTAAAGCTTTATATTCTGCATTTTGCTCCTCTCATCATTTCTTCACTCCACAGATTGAACTTAATGCCTCATCTTATTTTCTGCTCTTTCTTTCCTTTTTTCCATCTCTGACTCATAATGCTGATTTCTGTTTTCTAAAAAAGTAGATTATGCATGTTAACTATAAAATAACCAGTGAATGTCAATTTATTTAATTAATTTGAGTGTAATTACTGAAGGTTAAAAAAAAACGAACAGATTTTTAAACATTTTATTCTTTGCATTTTATTCCATGTTAACTGAAGTAACAAACAAAACAGGACACTGTCATAATAATATTTGTTTACATTTGGTGAACAACCTAATTGGCTGGTTTCACAGACAAGGCTTAAACCTATAGTCGCAGACTAAAATGCATGTTTGAGCTGTTTTAACTGAAAGCAACAATGGCACTGTCATATCTTAAAATATGTCAGTTCCAATGTTTTGTCTCAAGATGTACACCAGTAATGTTTTTTTTTTCTATGGCACATTTATAAAAGCTATTTAAATGTCCTAATTGAACTAAGGCCTATAATCCTTGCTTAACCTAAGACCTTTATGTGAAACCGGGCCTATAAATTAAAGGGTTTTCTACTTTTAACCATGTGGGAGTCCTCCTTTGAGGTGTGGCACACCCACCAGTGTCATATTGCATCAACCAAAACTATTTTATCATTTAAAGAAATACCATCTCTTTTATTAAAGGTCATTGTCATGCTCTGAAAGTGTAAACCCACTGAAAATTTAAATTATTTAAATTTTCAGAAAATACGTTTACTGTAAAATATTATTAAAGTTATGTAGTAAAGATATGCATTGCTTTAAGTAATTTTTAAGATTTTAGTTATGTGCACATTAAGGTGTTTTTTTTAATATTATTTATTACTATTATTATTATATAGGCCTATGTTTATGTTAGTGTTTTGTGTGTTACCCCTTATGTTACTATAGGTCACAGTTGCTGGATAACTCAATTTGATCAATAGCTGCAATGCATTGTTTAAAAGAATTCATTTTTATTTAATTGCACGTGTATTATGTCACGTGGTATTACGTTAAATAACGTAAAATCAATTAAGGCATTACACCTGTTCTTCAAGAGAATGTAAAAAAACATCTTCCCGCACTTGACATCTGACACCCACTCAACAGATCACTGAGAACTGAGCTGCAACTTCAGAGAGACTCTGAGTAACATAATAGAGGCCGTGTTAAAAAAAAACATAGCTCGGGCTGTCCATATATACAGCTTGTCCTTATACAGCTATATTTCCTCAAACTGAGATGTCTAGCAAACCGTTGCTACAACTAAAAGCGCGTCCATGGTTTCGCTGAAAGTCAAAGGTGTGAATGGTGGGCTTTTACTAGCAGTAGCCTATAAAAACAAAAGCGCGCACCAGTGCTGCTGGATTAAGTGCACTGGGACGTCCTGAAGCAGGATTACAGCAGCAGATCTGCAGCTATGGCTGACACTTTACGAAGACTGGTGAACTCATCTCCGTACAGTGTTTTGCAAGACAAACTGGAAGCTTGGTACAAAGACTATCATGTAAGTCATCATCATTAACTTACTTCAAACTGCACTTAGTCTGCAGATCTCATGTAACGTTAACCGCTAGACTAGAGTAACGTTAGTTTACATTAGTTGCCAGACTTTAAATTGTTTAGGCACTTATGTGTGATATCGTGCATACATTCAGGAGTCACTGATTCCAGATTGGGATATTTGAGTTTCTGTCTGGACTGAAGGCTGTTTTCACTAAATGCATAACTATTTACATGGATCTGCTTTGTGGGCGGGGTTAAGCATAACTCAATATGCACTGCAACCTACAGTTGATAGTATCTGGAGTTGTAGCCTAGCATCCTGAATTTATATGCTCAAGGTGCTTCTATGTAGCAACGGACATGAGCAATATTTGCTTTATTGCATTTTGCTTTAGCTTTTGCAGCAAAGTTTGGTTTCTATGGACGCTCGTTGTCAGGACAACGGCGACTCCATTCCTGGGTAGTTCTGATAGGCTGACAGGCAACGTGCGCGCTCCCGTCAGACTTGTGTTTTCTGAATGGAGGAACTCAGAAGTTTTTGCTCTATTCTTAATAAGTGGAATTTACAGTATAGTCTTCGCAATTTATTAGAAATGGGGAATTCGAAGCACACGTTTATGTGTCAGTCTTCTAATCTATTAAGTTATTCTTCAAAAATGTCCGTGATAAACATGTTTTCAGTTTCTGAAAAGTAGCCTATTTTTGCGCGTCAAAAATGTCTATTGGTGTCTCAAATTTTTGAGAAATTTAGTAGTTTGTCATAATATTTGACTATTTACTAAGCTATTATGTTGTCAATTGTAAGCTAAAAATAAGTTAAAGTTAAATTAAATAAGTTTATATATATATATATATATATATATATATATATATATATATATATATATATATATATATATTTTACCTTGAAAAAAATATTGAAAAACCATTTTGGCATTTGAAGAACTTGGAATATTAAATTGAAATTTGACATGTAGGCTAACTAAGCACAGAGTTAATGCAATGCCAAAAAAAAAACTAAATGCGTTGTTTTCATGCTACCTGAGCAGGAAGTGCAATATCCGATTCAGCACATTGTTGCAGTTCAGGGGTATTTCACAGTTGCTGCTTAACTTCTCGCTGTTATACCTGATGTTGCATTTACTACCTAGCTATGTCTTCTTATCTCATAACATCATTTGGTCTTATTTTCTCTCAGGTGTTCTCTTGTGACCAGAACCTGAATAGGTGCTGTGAGCTGGTGGAGCTCACCTCTAAAATCCAGGGTCAATTGTTCACCATACTCAATCTTACAGCACAAGAGGGTAACAAACAGAATCACTCCTCTATTTACTTTCAGTATTTATGTATAATATTTAGTCTCATTTAGCTCTAGCATGTACCATAACCATTCCCTAGCTGACTGTTCAACATTAATGTTCAAGCAGATTCTATGTCCTTGTTTTTCTTCAGGGGGACATTATTCAGGGGTTGACACTCTAAAATCTCGCCTTTTACCATGGCTTGGCTCTTGCTTCACCATTGCAGCTTCGTCTGTCTCCACAGATACCAGCCTTAGCCTCATTCAGGTGAGCTGGACATCCAGAATCATCTACAGCTGTCTTTAAATGGTTCCACATGCCTGTTTCATGAGTGAAATAATGATCCTGAGTCACCACTTGCCCATATACATGTGTATCTCTGTGTTGGCTTTTGTATGTGCCGGTTAGGAATCTGTGGAGAAAGATCGCAAGATTCGTGAACTGTCCTCATTTCATGAGAGTGACATGCTGAAAATAGAAGACCGGCTGTCTTCTACACGTATGGAGCTGGATTCAGTTAAACAGGAGTCAGTATCATAAGTCTAAACTAGATTAAAGCCAGCATGGAATGAAATAGATCTTATTGTGGATTATGGAAATCATCTATATGAAGTTTCTTTAAAAATAAAAGGAGGATAAAATAAAAATCCTTTAAAAATAATAATAATAAAAAAATAAAATAAAAATTCTGTTTATAGAAATTTCATAATTTCTATTTTAGGTGAACTTCCAATTAAACATAAAATTCTATTCATTTATCCTTATACGCAATACATCATAGTACAGAAAGGTTCACCTTTTACATTTTACACTTCATACAAATAAATCAAAATAATTGATTGTGTTATTTATTTGTTTCCAGGCTTGCTGACACCCAGATTGAACTGGATTCCACAAAAAATAAATCTGCAACTACCCTGTTAGCCACAGAAGATGAAATACTACATCTAAAGGCAGAGTGAGTCAGAGATGGTGAACTTTACTGAAATTTCTATTTATATCTTTGTGTGTTGAACATTTAGACAGTTGTATGAGCTGTATGACTGCTGAGTGTCCATTTGTGTACTAGAAATTGAATTGAATTGAATATTCATATTATGTTAAATAATGGAATTGTGTCAGGTTGCGAGTTGCTCAAGATCAGGTTGATCAATATAAGAGAAAGCTGGATAAACTTGATGACTATGAGAGGCAGGTCAGAATCCTACGAGATGAGGTCTCGTTCCTCACCGCTGAAAAAACTGTTCTACAGGAGAGGTACATTTGACATAAAAAACACCTCGTTGCTTAGTGCAAATGAGACTTAAGTAAGCCTTAATACTTACTCTTTCAACTCACTTCCAGATTGGTCAGGAGCCGTTCACCTAGTCCTCTTCCAAGGCGGAGTCGCTCGGTTAGCCCCGTGAGAGGCGAGTCTCCTACACGCGCCCAGCTCACTAGTTCCTCTCGGCATGCTCGGATGATCTCCCGTTTCTCAGACCTGTATGCCACAGAGAGGCTGGATTCCCAAAGTCTACTGCGCAGATACATTGACGACCTGGAAACAGTCCAGAGGATACTTTTTATCGCTGTTGTGGTAAGAATGGCTTTGGTTATCAATTACCATCCTGAGATAACTGCTAATGTAGGCTAGTAATAATGTCATGGTCCCTATAAAGTCATAGAACATATTAAAGAAATAATGCTCCATTTAATTTTGAACTAATCTAATCCAAAATGAAAGAAAAATAATATTTCTATGGAAATATTTCTCTGGAATTTTGTGGAAATAAAAAAATATTACACTATATTATATTATAAAGCAGCAGGTAAGATGCTGTATTGTAATTAATAATTTGTATTGTCCAACAGGAATCATTTCAGGCTGCTAAACTGGCCTATCGGCAGTTTAAAGGACGTGTGAGGAAGACACTTTCCTCCACTCATATTGGTCCTGAGAGTCTGGAGGATGCAGTGGTGGATTACATTGTGAGAAATCTGGACCTGTATGATGTGCAGACCAGCGTTAATGTACGTTTGACCACACTTTTTGTGATTAAGTATAGCAACCCTGATATTCCTAATAAACACAGTTTTATTATTAAGTTTTATTTTGTCTTAATGCTTTCATACATCAGAAATTACTTTTCTCTTTTGTGTTGCAGAATCCCCCCCAAAAAAAATACAAAAATTAATTTTGTATTTTTTATATGCTTTTGTAAATTTTAATTGTTACATTTCCATCTGTTTAGGAAGTGATCAACGCAATGAACGTAAACCCACGCATCTCTTTCCCTCCGGAGGTGGACTTTGTTCTGATCAGCAGCTTCATTAGGGAAGCATGTCGAATAGCATTTGCCATGCAAACTCTTGACCCACCACTGGACCTGGCCTTCAGCTCAGATGGTGAACTCTACAGTGATAATAAGTGAGTGGAGCTCATAAATCAGACACACTCACACATACACAGCAACACGTCTCAAGGGTCTTGAGATGCATCTATAAAAGTTGAACTCACAGTGTCTTAAAAAAGCAGTGCACATTTTTTTAAAGGAGAAGAAAAAACATATTGAGACACACCCATCACACTTTCTCTTCCTCTCAGGTACAGGCGCAGTTTTGACTCTGAGTTCACCGCTCCACTGGTGGCGTTTCACGTGTGGCCTGCACTGTTGGAGGGAGACACTGTCATACTGAAGGGAGAGGCGGTCACTAGGAGAGGAGCTCTGGTATGTGGAGGCCATTTGGAGAAAATCAATCAAAATAGCATTCATTCTAGTCATGACATAATCATACTGCATTAAAAAGGAGAAAAGTAGGGGAAGAAAAGTTTTTGTTGAGATTTTTGTTAATGCTATTTAATAGGTTTTATGCATTATTGTTAAAGAATTATAAAATAATGGATTTAGATAGATCTAAAATGATTAAATAGTCAAATGTTTACGTTTGTGTGGATGTAATGTACATGTTTTTCTCTAGTGGAGAAGCAGGAGTCGTAGTTCCAGTCCTGTTCGCTCTCGTTCAGGAAGCCCCAGCCGCACATTTGTGAGTTTCTACTGAACGTTTGACTCTTCCAATTCAAGGGATAGGCCACCTAACATTTTTAATTCTATCATAATTTCTCACCCACACGTCTGAAACCTGTATGATTTTCTTTCCTCTGTGGAACACAAAATAAGTTTTTTTATAGCAGAATTTCAAAACTGCTGTTTTCTATACAATGAAAGTAAATGGTGCCCATGGCTTTCAAAAAAAAAAAAAAAAAAAAAAATTCTGTGAATAATGATTTAAATCAGTCTGTTCATCACACAAAGCTGTCATTTGGCTTCAGAAGAGTTGGAATATAGTGCAATGATTACACTCAAGTGCCCGGTGAGAGTATATGAACCATTTTTGTAGTACTTGCATGGTGCGTTTTTGCTCTTTGGAGCTTGAAAACTCCTGGTACTCATGCAGCTTCATTGTTTGACAGAGAACAGCTCAGACGTTCTGCTACTTCTTTTGGACTCTCAGAAGAAAGTTAAATCATACAGGCTTAGAATGCAAGTAAATGATGACAGAACTGTGAACTATTCCTTAAACATTCCCAAAAGTAAACAAGTAAAACAATATGGTCCACAATGTAGTTTATAGTCCACAATTCATATTAGTTTAACAATTAAGTTTTCTTCATATCTCTCTTGCACACGCTTCCTCGGTGAGTCTGAGGGTTAGTACAATTTTGTTACAAATTCTTCCATTCTTCTCTGCGGATTTTGCCAGCTGCTCTGTGAGTGATTTTAAGCTGTATTCTTCTCTCTCTGTCTGTCAGATGCCCAGTCGTAGTCGAAGCCCTTCCCCTGGACTTCTGTCAAGTAGTCGACTTTAAAGTTTGATACCTGACCTCACTTCACTGGAAACAGGACCAAACAAAAGCAGAATAATCAAAACATAAAAATATTTTTTCAGCTTTAATGTATTCTTTTCTATGTGTGGGATGAACTAGAAACTAAAGTGGAAAACAAATACCTTTACAAATGACTCCATACTTACGAAGAATGGAGTCATTTGTCATGTTTAAACAGAAAGCACTATTTACAAGAGAAAATCCTCCAGAGGATAGAGCAGAGCAAAACCAAACACCGGTCAAGAATTAGAAGTCTAAAACGAGAAGTTTTGAAGAGAAATGTCGGAGGATTTCGATATAAGAAAAGAGGAGCTTGAGTTTGTTGCCCAGCCCTATGTTTGAACCGTGAGAAGCATCTAAAGCTTACACTACTCCTACATCCACGTCATACATCGCATCAGGGGTTACTCTTTTGGCGTAAGTCAACTTGCGTAGGCCATCTGCCGGAAGCTGATAAAGTTTTAAATATGGATATTTTTCTTACAAAAACCCATCGCTTTGCTACAGAAGGCCTTTATTAACGCCCCAGAGCCATATGGATTACTTTTATGATGAATGGATGCACTTTTTTGGACATCAAAATCAGGGCCGCCGTTCACTACCATTTTAAAACTTGGAAGTGCCAGGATATTTTTTAATATAACTTCGATTGTGTTTGTCTGAAAGAAGCTAGTCATGTACAGATGGCTTGAGGGTGAGTAAATTATGGGATAATACAATTTTTTGGATGAACTATCCCTTTAAAGGGACTTTGATTATAATGATCTGTGAAGAAGACATACCGGTAAGCTCTCTAAACGTTAACATTTTACTTAATGAGTCTAATAAGACCATTGCACATTACACATTCAAAAGTTTGTGGTCAGTAAAAAATTATTAGCAAGGATTAAATTGATTAAAAGTGACAGTGAAGACATGTATAATTTTTACAAAAGACTTCTGTTTCAAATAAATGTTATTTTGAACTATCAAATAATCATTAAAAATATATTACAGTTTCCACAACAATATTAAGCAGCTCAACTGTTTTCAACATTGATAAGAGTAATCAATATTTCTAGAGAAGCAAATCAGCATTAGAATGATTCTGAAGGATCATGTGACACTGAAGACTGGAGTAATGATGCTGAAAATTCAGCTCTGCATCAAGGAATAAATTACATTTTAAAATACATTAAAGAACAGAAAATAGACAGTTTTATTAAACCGTATTTTAGTTTGACAATATCACTGTTTTTACCGTATTTTTATCACATCGATGCAGCCTTGGTGAGCATAAGAGACTTAAGAGACTAAACTTTTAAACAATAGAGTTTGAAGCAAAATATACTTGTTAAGGTGCTCTGTTTGTCTGTAATAACTGGACAAGTCATTTAAGGTGCTATTCTTTCTATTTTTTTGTATGCAGATTTTTCATATATTTATGTGATTTGGATTTTTATCACTACAGTAGGAATTAGGATCAAAGAGAAAATCTGTTGTCTTCTAGGTTACACCTGCACACCAGCACTTTTAAGAAAACTAATGGGCTCTTTTGTAATGGTAACTCTGTCATCTGCATATGTCATCATCACTCTAAATAAGTGCTGTTTGTGAAGTGTTTACTGAACTGTCATTAATTGTTTCTTCTAGTAGATAATCTGTAGACACTAATTTTTTTTTTTTTTTTTTTTTTACATTTCCTCTTTGAGGCCAGTGCAAATGTCAGTTTAATTATTTCCTAATTTTGGTGCTTTTTTTTTTTTTTACTTCAGTAGGCTAAAGAATGGTCTGTGTTTTGGATTTGTGGAATTCTAAGCTGTTCAAAACCTCAATTTCATAGTTTTAAGGTACTCAGTTTATTCTGCTAATTGTCTCTTAATGAGGTCTTTATCATGGAAAGTACTTTTTTCTGTTATGTCAAATCATTTATTAAATTTGTTTTAACAAACAAAAAAGGTGTGAGATTGAATCACCAGGAACATAACTTATGGCTTAAGTTTATTGTTTAAGGGAAATTTAGTTTATTTTCATACAGTAAAATAATTTGTCTATCAGAGTGTTAAATAAAACACAAAAATGACTCCAGCAGTGGTCATACCATTAATCGAATATTAGTTTTCCTTGAGTAATAATGGTATTATAAAGGAAGTCAAAGTTACATACGTTATAAATGACGACGTCATTATAATGTGAGCACAAAGGAGACCCAGTTCAAACACATTATTCTGTCTGCACTCTCTTCTATCTACGTGTCACCGCTAGAGGTCCCTCACATCCTTCTACTGAGGAAGATATTGATCGTTGCTGAATTCGGAACCGCATAGCAGTAAAATCGTAGCCTACTACTTTTACCATATCTCTATAACAGAAATAGTAAGAGTATGTATACTAGTATGCGGTTCTGAATTCAGCACGTGTTTTGGTTCTGGGCGCACTCAGTAATTTCTCCGTAATTATGAAAGGTTTTACACGTAAATGAATAGTTCTTTTGGAAAATCAGTTTAAAAATAATGTAGGCCTACACTCGGGACTCCAGCCACATCAGAAACCTAAAAAAAAAAAAAAAAGTGTTATTTTAGTATTATTGATTTACTCATTATTTATATTATAGTATTTATTAATATTTTGAATTAGCTTTTATTTTATTTTTTAATCTAAACTTATATATATATATATATATATATAAAATATATACTTATATTTTTAACTTATATATTTTTTTCAGTTAGTTACCAGTTCAACATTTGTTGAAGTGTAAGTTTTTCATGTAATATTTATATATAATTTTATTTCAGCTTTATTTAAATTATCTACAATTATTAGTAATAGCTAGTTAACATAACATCCCTGAATAAAAGCTGTTTTATTTTAGTCACCTCATGTGGGCCATGATGAGATAATCATCCCAATAATAGTCACACTGTAACCCTCTATTGGGCTTTTTTTTTTTAGAAAATAAATAATAATACTGTAATTATATAGTAATTGCAAGATGGACAGCACAGCATGCACAAAACATTACTGAGTGTATACATTTAAGTATTTTCTTTAAGTATAATATAAATAGAGGAAGAATTAAAAAAAAAACAGTAAAGTTTTCAAGAGTGGAGGCATGGAGTTAAATAAATAGGCAGGCTATATGGTTACAGGAGAGTGGATTTATTGAGGCGTACACACACACACACACACACACACACACACACAGACAGTATACCAAGACATGCTGCATATCCGTTAGCTAACTGCAAAAAAAAGCTGCATTATAGTTTGCATTGGATATCCTCCTGCTGTTGAGACAGGATGAGAGAACAGCGAGCAATATAATTGCAGAATGACTGCAAGGCCAAGTCATACCAGCAAATTATAAAGCAGGGACAATGTAATATTGGAAGGAACAGCATGAATACTCAGGGGCTACTTATCATTTTCCTGAAATAAACATGCTGTATTTTGCTCTATGTCCTAGAAATACCTGAGTTATTTTGAGCACAGTTGCTGCCTGACCTGGACTGTCGTCTGTTTCTCTGATTATATTAAAGCAGACTGAGATCTGAGACCTCCAGCTGACCACGGTTAGAAGAAGTCTAAAGCCTGCATGCATAAAGAGCAGAATATATGCTAAAACGCCCTTCATCATTCAAAGTCTCACTGGTTTGGATAAACACGGGGAGATTTTAAATACAAAAATAGCAACTGCAGCATACAGGACAGTGAATATATATATATATATATATACACACACACAAAAAAAAAAAAAACATTAGCTGTTTCTTATGTTAACTTTAAACCATGCCTTGCAACTTTTTCTGCTTTATCAAGTTCATTTGGGGATTGGTAATAAAGCGCTGGTAACAATATGGGTTACTTACAATAAATCAGTTTGAGCCACTAGGTGGAGATCTTTCTTTAAGACTGAGAAACTCTTTAGCAGTGCATGAACCTTGAGTCAAGCTTACAGAATGAGACGGAAATAGTCCTAGAATTATGATAAATAATAGGTTGTGTGCTCTTTAAAGTAAAAGAACAAGAAATAGAAGGGTGGAGAGGGAATGCAAGTTTGAGGCTTTTCCTTGAGTCTTCAAGATCAAGGCCCATCAGAGAATGTGAGAGTGTAATTGAATTAGAGGCTCATCCTCAAACTGACTGAGAATGACAGAGAGAGCAGGAGACTTCAAGGAAGATAAACAGTATGAATCTTTTGAATAATATCTTCTAGTTTCTAGTCACTCTACAATATTCTATGTGGTGTTGCTTTCAAACACTGCACACTAATAGCTGATTGTGTTTTCGGAATGCTGGACAGTTTTCATTGCTTGCTTGCCCAAGTTCATTAAGCCTGGATGGTGATGCCAGCAATAGTGTGGAATCATTGTTCACAAGCAACTGCTAATAATTGACCCCAGGAAATTGCCACATGCCAATGAGGAGAATTGTTCAGTCAGGCTTGGCAACATCTCTTGCGAGAAAGAGAATAGCAGGAAGACGCAGTAACGCTTCAGGGTGAGTAAGAGGGCACAGCACATGCATTTACTGAAGAAACAAGCTAAGAGTTCCTCCTCTCTAATATAGACCTTTAGCATTATCAATCTAACCTCAAGAAAATCACTTTTAGAATCAAGCAATGATTTCAAAGACCATGCATTGTATGTTTGCAATAGCACAATAGCATTCTACTAGTACAGGGCTGAGTAAGCTCAATTTTAACCCGAACAGTTCACTTAACCTATATTACATACAATGAACTTAAGAATTTTTTCTATTAAGTACAATGAGATTTGAGTTAATATGATGTTTATAATATCAAATTGTACAAGTTAGCTTAGTCGACATTTCAGTAAAATTGCAATTAACATGTATGTGTAGTGCAAAATCAAACAATTATGTTTCACTAACCCTTACAAAAAATTCATTCTTAATAAAAATCATTTTATTAATTTTTATTAAGTATAATTTAAGTGTACTTTATGTAGTGAGTCAGTGTATACAAGTAAATCAATGTACTAGTAGTATACTTGTATGCATAATATTTCAATACTACTTGGGACTAAATAATTTATTATTATGATTATTAATAAAAAAAACCCATTTTATTATTTTAAAATAAAAGGAAACTGAACTAAGTGTAGTTCAGTGAGGCAGAGTTCATATCATCCTCTCACATCTGCCTTCTGTTGATCGATTTAAGTAGTTATTTCTGCAGGCTCGTGCAGACCCATTAGTCTTACAGATTCATT